GACGGATTCGACTGCGGGTGTGCAGTGTTGCGGCGACGTTTACTACGAGAAGAAAGGCGGCCTGTTGGGCGACGACGACGATGTCGAGGACCTCGAAGATGCGGTCGTCACAGACTCGCCTCGCTCCAAGGACGCCGACTCGGCCAGGCACGGCTTCAAGTTGCTGAAGAGGCAGGGAGCGCCCGGGGGCCGACGGTCGCCGTTCGCGGCCGCGGACAAGGCAGGCTCCTCCTCCAAGAAACTGTGCGTCCAGAACTGGCTCACCAGCAGCGGCCCCAAGTCACAGTGCTCCGACTCCCTCCTCTCCAGCAACAGCTCCAGCCAGGGGCCCGGCGCCAGGGAGCCAGAGTTCGGCCCCGACCCCCAGTCTTCGGACGCCTACCACAGCAGGGCTGAGAGCTTCGACTCCTCCACCCAGGTTAGCCAGTCGGAGTCCGGCCTGTCCATGCAGTTCACGCCCAAGGACGAGCCCGTCGAGGCGGCCTTCCCTCAGGAGGGCCCGTCCAGCCGACTCAGGAGCGCCAGCCACAGGCAAGAAGACTCCAGGGAGAGGGCCTTGCTGAGGGGGGGCAGCAGCTCGGGGGCCAACGTGGTGTGCGGGCTGAGCTCCGCGCCCCTGGCGGACGTCCTGGAGGACTCTCCCTTCGAGGAGAGCGCCACGCACTCCAGCGCCGTGTCCTTCACGGACTACAGGGACTCGCTGGGCAACCGCGTGGGCGGGCGGCAGCGCAAGTCGTACAGCGTGTCCAGCGAGATAGAGGTGGACGACGCGCCGCCCAGCAGCCGGCACGCGGCCAGGCGGATGCAGCGGTCGGCGTCCGCGTCGGCTTCGGCGTTGGCGACGACGTCCAGGTCCGCGTCCGGGGAGGCGTCCATGATGCGGAAGTCGTCGAGCGGGTCGCTGGTGAGTCTGGGGCGGCTGGATGCGGGGGAATATGCCTGTGGGCGTCCGGTTGCTCGCACAGTATTCCATTCTTTGTCATTCTTTCCGTCGGGAAAGGAACGCGCTTGTGGACAGCGACATGGGCCCGTTTGGGCCAAGGCAGTGGTTTGTTGTGTCGTCGACGCGTGGGGATGTGCCTGGCGAGCAACTGCGCTGGCAGAACTCGGCCTGGAGTGGCGGCTGACGCTGGGCCCTGTGCTGTGCAGATGGACAAGCTGAGGCGGAAGATCTCGCTGTCGCACTCCCGGAGGAGCTCTATGGGATCCACCCCGCGCAAGGAGCCACGGGAGGGCGTGAGAGAATTCGGATGCTTCGCTTTCCTGTCGCCCAGGACGCCCAGAAGGGGGGCGAGTGGTTAAACGCATTTTTTGGTCAGTCGGGATCAGTCGAGAACAGTCGTTGCTGTTCAGTTTGCATTAGTGTTTCGTTGCGGCTTGACGGCTTCTCAGCTGGGCGAAGACTCGGCTGAACAAACGTTTCGGTTGAGGAAATAAGTGCACTGGCATTCCAAGGGTGCAGGCCTCGGTTGTGAGGCGCGCGCCTGTGTGCCGGGGTTGTGCGGATGCGAGCGCGGGCTGTAGCTGATTTTCCGTGTCGCTGGGATTTTAGTTGCGTGTTGGGATGCAGGATTTGGGACATTGTTGCAAGGCGAATGGTGGTCTGCACACGTGCGCTTGCTCAGGAGCTGCAAATTCGCCGGGACAGGGGGAAGCGCCCCCTGCTCGGAAATCTCAACGAGGCTTGGACTTCATGGCAGTCGACGTGTATTAGTTAGGATAAAATTTGGTTGGGCCCTGACCGATGTTGCCTGGGCTTGTATGACTGTCCGGTTGACAATCGCGTGAACGACGGCTTCGAAGTGCATCACGTGTCTGCGTGTCCTTTCCCTACTGTTGCTGCCCAGCAGATCGGGAGCGACGTGTCCAGTACGTGCGACAATGGCCATAGTTTCGGTTGTTCCACATACGGTTCAGCCTAACCACGGGTGACTTCCGTAGACGCAAACGCAACGTGCCTTGTACCGCGTTGGATGGCCCGTGTATGTCATGTGGTGAAGGATGAAAAACAAAGATGAGCAGAACATTCCACAAATGGGCCCCAAAATGGGTCTAAAGAAGCTACTCTGTGAACTAATTACCCATTGTTCTAAATGATCGTGTGCCTGAGTGGGTTGGACCACAGATGAGGGGGGCGGTGGGACTGGCAAGGGCCTGGCAATGTACAGACCATCTGACTTATCCCGGAACAGGCCTGCGACCTGGGAGTCGACGTGAATCGCAGAGATTCATGTGACGCCATTGATGCATGGTCTTGGGGGAGGTGACGAACCGATTGGCCAGCACTCGATCAGGGACTAAGTGCCCCTGTCTTGTCTGCCTCCTTTCATATATCATTCATAGAATTTGCGCAAAGCGAATGAGCACTCAACGTCAGAAGATGGCCCGCTGCCGTGCACCTGGGCATTCGAGTCAGTTCCCTTCGACAGCATCGAAGGTTAGTATTACATACAGTCTGACCCCACTGACAACACTTCATGCAGTGAACCCCGCCAACAAGAAGAAGGGCGGGAACCCCACCCCATCAATCCAAATCTGTGCCTGAGCCCAGATGCGCCACAGCCAATGAAGATGAACCCCTTCCACGTCCCAATCCGCGCTGCCCGCCTTCCAGCTGGCGCACACGACCAATGGAGCCACAGCCTCCGCATCACCACCAAGGGTTCCAGGCCATCACATGGAGCACATTGCCTCCGAGCGCTTCACCGGATGTTGGCAACTCCAGCCAGGATCACCACGGCGCCGCTTATAGGAATCTTCACCATGGTGCATCCCTGCCAGAGCGGCCATGTCGACTTGCCCCTCGCCTGCTCTCGCTTCTTTCAATTGCGATGCACACAGGCAGAAAACCGGGCATCCAGAGGGTTAAAACCCAACACGCCATGCTCTCAGAGCCACGCTCTCGGAGCCACGGCCATCCGACAGAGCTGACCAAGGGCAGGCAGCCGGGCGTGCCACTGGTGCGTTTTCTTGGCACCCACAGCAGCGCACAGCAACAGTCAAATGGCCGTGATGCTGGCCCAGAGCCCCACATCGCCTCCTTCGGAAACAAATGTCACAGGAGCAGCACAGCAGTGACAGCGAGGAATCCACGCACACACCTGGTCACAGCATCGCCGCAGCTATGAGCACCAGCAGCGGCCACTGCAACAGGCCGCGTTATGCTGGAGCCAATCCCTGATGCACCGTGCGTGCCTTGTCGCGTTCAGCGAGGCGCATCAGCCTCCTAGCCCAGAGAGGAAGGAGTTCGCATACGCCATAGGGCGCACACTGGGGTGAGGCACCGCCGAAAACTGGGTGAAGTGGGGCACCATGTCGCTGCCGTTGAACTTGACGAAGGCAGCCTTGTTCCCCATCGAATCGCAGTAATTGGGTGCACTGAATATGGTGATCAAGCGCCCATCATGGGCTATCTCGTAACCTTCCTCCTTCACTTCGTGGCTTCGGACGACGAGGTCCAGTTTGTTGTTGTCCAGGAAGGCTTTCGTGACATCAGGACCTGCCGATTCGCACCCAATCACCACCGACTCTCATAACATATCAAGACATCAAGATTAGCAGCCCCTTGCAGTCAAAGGTCAGTGGCACTTCCCAATGCTGTGCAAGATGACTTGAGCCAGAGCATGACGTAAAGCAACAAACCTACAGGCTGTAGGCAAGACGTAAAATAACAAACCTGACCTTGGAGAGGTTGAGGTGTGACTGCGTGCGAATCACGAAACAGAACCAGCGCCAGATAGGGATTTGCTGGCGCCTGCCCGATGTACAGTCAGCAGGCAGCGCCCCACCCGGGCAACAGCAGCTGCTGCAACAATCTTTCCAGGTTTGCACCAAGTTTCCACCATGAAGCAATTTCAATTTCGCCAAAGAGAAACACCTGGCTTGGGTTTCAATGGAAGGACACCAAAGTGCGGGGCCACATGTTGGGAGGCAGCAAGCACTCTGGTGCTGTTGATGATGGTGGTTCATTGATTATTCCCAAGCAAGTCCCCCCTTTCACCAACCAACGCACCCACCCACCTACCTAACCACACGTGCACACACAGCTGCCAACATTGCAATCAGCGAGCAGGCCCTCAAATCAAATGGGTGCAATGCAAAACAGTACCAAAACACAGCATACCAAATGCAACACCAACGCCACGTTGGCTGGCCCTTCTGCCTGGCAGTGGGTGCGGGTCGCTCCAGAGGATCTCACACATAATCCCGTCATCAGGAGGTTCCCTGCACAAGCAGGAATGGGCTACAATGAGTAGCAATTTCAATTCCTGCCAATCCAGAAATCAGTACAGCAACTAAGACACCAAGCCAATTGGCTTGACGCTTCTCCAGCAAGATATCCCAACCATGGATTAACCCTTCCTGTGCATGAGCCACATACTTTGTGCACTCAGTGAGACTGAATGCACATTCCCCCGATTACAAACAACAAGTGCCATTGCTTACATCACACAAGGGGAAGCACGACAGCCAGGTTATGTTATGCATTCATGACTCATCGGTGCATGAAAGAGATCAAGATCTGCATAGGCATGTCTAGCCCTCAGCAGCGATCAGGCAAACCCATGGAAATGTTAAATTTACCAAAGGCAGCACCTGACACGACAAGGGCAGTCAGAATGGCCTGTCTCAATGCCAGGGCCCGACAGGATGACAGCGACTTGGGAACAGTGACACAGTGACCACAGCACACAGCAACACCCCTTGTATCTGTGCACGATGTTCATTGTTGCCATGAAATATCCATGAAATCATTCTGCCAGCTGTATTCTTACGTCGGTGGCCCTTCCTGGTGTGGAAAACTCGATTGACAGCATCATCTGCTGCTAGATATCATTGCCATTTCAGGCAGACCAGGACCTGTCAGGTGGATTAACACTCCTGCTGAACAATTTATTCACTGACAGATTATGATTCGCATTTTCCCCACCACAGCTGGAAGAAGCAGACTGGCAGCTGCTCTACAGAATTTCTACATAAAGCATATGCATCGTTGCTGTTGCTGCTGCTAAGAGCACTGCGCGAAGATTCAGCCTAATCGCATTAACCTCCATTCCAAGCTAATTTTCTCCAATGTCTCCACAACCACGATTCTCATCACCTGGACAAGGCCTGAATTGTTGTCACCATGCCACAGGAAATAAGCCAAGCACAATGCCTTCAACAGAACATCAATGCTACCAGTGATGCACAGTTTGACAGCAATATCCCTTTCAGGCAAACCAACAGTCATCACAGCACATGAGCAACATCATACGTAGAGGTACAGTTAACACCAACAAAAGCACCCACAGCTACAGCCATAATGGCTGCACAGCACAATGATAAGCCAAATCACCATAGGTACTTCCTCTGTCCCGAATTAAATGAAACAATCTGTTTGCATAGTTGCATTTTTATCAACCTCTCATCAGTTTTGCTTGAAAATTTGATCAGAGCACCACAACTCCCGTTGGTACACGCTGCTAAATTTCTGAGAATAACGGATAAGTATTGGTCAAATGGTCGTACTCTGAACCCACAGGATTTTTCCCAAAAACCCAATTCTCTCAGGCTCGCCCCCAAACCTGGCCCCTCAACCAGGTCGCTTTGCGACTGTCGGTGAGCAGCGCAGAACGGATATCTGCGGCTGCCACTATGGCTGCAGGTCGGAGGCGTTCCTCTCGAAGCACAGAGGGCGCGGAACCAAGTTTCGTATCGCTTGATCGTCGATCGCGACCGTGGATTCAACAGCCCGTTCAGCGTTCCAATTTTTGGATCGGATGCCGAGAAATCGCCGAACTTCGCAACCACGGCGTTTTTGAGGCTACCGCCATAGGTGAGGTGGCCACAAGTGTTTAGGCCACCACCAAAAGTTTGGAGAAATGCGACTGTAAATTCGCTGCACAACAGCGCAAAGATCGCTGGAAGCGGCCGTGCCAGGCACAGGCCATGAGGAGCACTTCGAGTGCCGTTCAAGCCGCTTTGAAAGATGCTGCTGCAAGAGATTTTGGATGCCGTCCTTGCAGAACACAACAGCACCATTATGCACCACCTGGGGTCTCCGATGAAGCATCCCCACCCTCCATCGGTCGTGTTTGGTGGGATTGATGCCCTCTTGGTGGTAGGTGTTCCTTGCGCATGATACGTCATTGATTGGAGATCGGCAACGAACGGAGTGCGTTTGGTGCATGCAGCAGTTCTGTGGCTAGTCTTTAGACACCAGGAGACCTGTTGGCAATGGTAGATCCCAGATATGTCCTTGCGTCGCCGTGGACAGTGGCAGGGATTTCCGCAAATCAGTGATGGCGAGATGGGCAGCCGTGCGCCATCTCTTCCGGTTGTCCATCGCGACGGGTGCCGATCGTTGCAATAGAGTCTGAGCGAGGTTGGCCGCTCTACCCTTCCAGTGCCCTGAAGTCCAGAAAGAGGGGGTGCACTTGTGTGTTGGGTCATCTCAGACCCGGGAAACTATTTTTTGGCGGGCGGGGGATGCCCTGGGAGTGACCAAATTCTGGACTGGAGTAGTGCATGTTCAATGCATTGCCAAATGCAGTATACCTATTCGTTCCCTCTGATTTTCTGGTAGCAACTACGACATGTATAATAGTTCCTGCAGTTGCATTTTCAAGAAAAACAAACGAGTGCTCGATACAAATTCAGCCTCACAGCAAATTGTTTCATTTAATTTGGGACAGAGGAAGGACGATAAAACAACACTCAAAAGAGCAACTTGGGACAGTACTGCAGCGATAGGATGAACATCTACCTGTTTCTGTCAAGTTTATTGATGTCCTCAAGAGTGACGCCGTCCTGTGTGAAGAGCCCTCCATGCAGCACAAGGACTTTTCCCCCAAGGACAAAAGCAAGGGGCATCCAACAGAATGTCTCGCGAAAGATCTCTGCCATGGTGCCATTGTACTTGTGTTTCACCTGCAAACTCCCAGCAAGCTAGGAATCAGCAACAGACAGGTACAGCTGCATGCCAGCGAGAGTCAGGACACAATCAGGGGATCTACTGACGTCAGTCACATGGACATCAGTACAGTTTGTACACTCACTAAAGTAGTGCACAGCTTGGAAGTACACAGTCAAAAAAGAGGCCCATGTGCTAACACTGAGGCAATTTGGGAAACACAATGTGGCATTACAATGTGCTAAATGCAAGGTGCCAGAAGCCACTGGCTGCTGCCTTGCAAAACCAGCTGAGAGTTCCTGTGCATCACCTCTCCGTCGAAGCCATACATCTTGTTCATCGCTCTGGATTCGTGGTTGCCCCGTGTGAGGTGGAAGTGGTTGGGATACAAGCATTTGAAGGCAAGCAAAGCCAAGATAACTTCCACTGAGAAAGAACCTCGATCGACAAAATCGCCTGATACACAAGAACGCAACAGCCTCATGTCAATTGGACTAACATCGCAGATGGCTGGCCAAGCAACCACACTGCATTGATAAGTTGGGAATAGACTTATGACTGGCAATGAGTTTGTACTATAAAAAATAGCAGTCCAAAGCGAAACAGCGTAAGTTTTATCCTACAGCCCCTTGTTGGGCACTTTCACAGTGGGTTTCTCCTGCATCCAGCACATCTGCATGTTGCTGCTGTGCATTGCATTTAGACTCCAGAGGCTTCTCTTGAAGCAGACAAAATTGTGCCATCTGAGCAGCCAAACCATCACAAACATTCATCCCACAGGATGATGCCAAAACCTATGTGATGCCCTGTTGCAATATTGATTCACCACATCCCAGATTCCCACACGTTTAGAGCTTGCCATCAAACCTCAAATAATACACAACCAGATCTCTTATGCAGATGATACAAAAATTCATTACACATGCCAGAGTTCATAAAGCATGTACTGATCTGCAAATGTTGAGAATATGTAAATGGACTTCAATGGACATGGACTACCACAATTTCTTATATGGAATGGGACATTCGCACAAATCTTGACATTCTACAGAAAGGGCCTACACTGCACATAACCTGGTAGCAACAATCAATAGAAGGTACTTGTCCATGTTCAGCATAAACGCGGCAACCTTACTCTGGAATGCCAGTGCACAAGCGCACAGGCTGCCAATCCAACAAGGCCGATGCAACATTCAGTATTCGTACCATTAAAGAGGTATGGATTCTCTTCTGATGGAAGTCCATTAATGTCAAAGATGTTGAGCAGGTCATAGTACTGCCCATGAACGTCCCCACACACTGTGATGTGCGAGTCTTGGGGAACATCGACGTGCACCACATTTTCCTTGCTCTTAAAAATCTTTTGTGCCTGATTACATAAAAACATCCACATCACAGATGCAAGCAGGCAGCTCCGCAAAGCACAGCACACTGACTCAGCATCCATCATTACCACACTTACTACCCACACTAACAAACAATTAGTACTGATAGTGCTGCTGACAATAAATACCAGTATGAAACACCTCAGCTGCCCAGGAATGCAACAATACGTTAGGACAGATGTGGCACCTGAATTCTTCAAGCTGGTGTAGTATTTTCTAATTTTAAATATAGAGTGTCTATCACAACAAGCTCCTTGTTGCTCTTGAACAGAAATTCGCATAGTATGCTGCACACAGCTCATAACGCGCTGCTTTAAAGCTCTGGGGGCGACCCTGGCCCATTCAACTAAATCCAGTCAATATGTGATTCCTGGTACCAACCAGCATACCATGAGGATAATCTCAAATGCGAAACGTTTGTGAACCAGACGCTGTTCCTTGAATTCTTCCATCATATCCTTGACAAACTCCACAGTGATCATGTATTTTCCATCTTTGCTGCCTGGAAATCACAGAAGCACATCACAGCAATGAGCAACCAACAAAGCCCATGCTGCTTTCTATCAGTAACACTCTAGGCATTGTGTTGCACGATTGTATTCAGCGGTAATTGGTACATGTGTACGGCGAGCTGATGGACAATGTCCAGTGTCCACGATTCAAGTCAAGACTGAGCAAGCCCCAGGTCAATTCACAAGCAATTTTTAGAACCAATCCAAAGAACTGACAGCAAGTAAACTGCAAAGGCCACTATAAAAAGTTGCAGGACACCTAACTGTACTCACTGCATCTGTTCAACATGAACAACGGCACAGACCCTATGGCAATGCCACCACAAGAAAGGGACATGTTCCTTGCAACATATAGGCACAAAGATGCAAGCATGTGATGCAGTGCGAAGAGCAAGAATGGATAATAAACAGCAGAGTTCTCCAGGCACAGCATCAATGTGACTATAAAGTTCAATCGCAACAGCACACCACAACATATCTCAGTGGTGCCACAGCACCAGTTCCAGCCACAGCTGCCAGCACGTCACCAAAAACACAATCGGCAAATTTTGGCTTTCCATTATCTCCACAAGCGATGCTAGTGACCATCACTAGACATGCACATCTGTTTGTGCTGCAAATGGTGGAGACACAGCTGTTTCTACACTCACAGTCCATCCTTGGGCCCTTGTATGACTCTTCCACTGTCATGGTGTCCAGATCAAGCGTCTCAGATCTGGGAGGCTCTTGATCATGCTTCACAAGCAACCGCAACACAACAACAAATCAGTTGAAGAGATTATGTGACTTGTGCACCTGACCTGAAAGTACTCCATGTTGCCCAACGATCTGGACATTTTGCAGCACCAGGGAACCTGTGACTGCAAACTCAAAGGCATGTGTCCACACAGGAGCTTGCTATTGACAAGGCAACAGTGTTTCCTTCTTGAAGGCAGTCAAATAGGGCTACTGCGATACTAAGCAGCGAACACACAGCATTGCACTGGGCATCTTCATGCTGCTCATCGTTGCACTGAAGTCACCTGGAGTCAAATGAGGGGAAGACTGAGAAAGATGCCAAATGAATCGCAACAGAAGGTGCACAGTTATGATGTGCACTCTTGGCAATGAGTGCACCCGCTGCTCAGTCTAATCATTGGATTCACCATACAAGCTGTGTGCAGGAAACAATGGTACAAAGCATCTGTTTGTATGCAGGGTGGAGTATCATAAAATGTGTGTGTACCTCAACAGCAAGCGCCTCTTCAAATCTGATTCGCTTCACCTCCTTTGAGCATTCTAGCAATTTTTTCCTCAGAGCAGGATCTCTAGGTGCCACTTCTGCAGCCTGGAGAGCACAAACAATTCCAGACTCAAGTGGTGGCATCGACCACATCCAACAACCCACAAGGTGTCAAGGCAGCCAATCAAAATGAAACACCTCACACCAACATTCACAAAAAACTGTTGCACCTTTGATTCCTAGATTCAAAAGATGGTCTTGTGCATAGAATGGAGTGGAGCAATGGTTCCATTCTCATACTGTGGTACAAGGTGGCAGGTCAATGCTTTGCAAGAAGGCAAGTGTACTGGACAAAGAATCAAAGGGAAGCTAATCTCAGCAATACAAGTGCCTTGCATGATCGTCTAGTCCAAAGCAAATTGCTGTTGAGCACGTGACAAGGCCCATTTAGTATCCTGGATGATGCAAACTTGCCCCATGACAGAGGAACTGCAGACACATGGAGGACCCAGTGTACTTGCCTTCTTCAAATCCTTGAGTGCCTCCTTGAACTTCCCCAGAGCAAAGTTCGCATCCCCCCTTCGGTAGTATGCCTAACATGGCACAGCTGACAAGCACTTTAGTGGGATCCAGCAGCAACAATGGAGCTCCAAAAGTGCTGAGACTTGGGCCCGTAAGGGAGGCTGCAGCAGGTTGAGAGGGAAATTTCCGCAAGAGTGGAACAATGACGAGGTACAGTCCTCGGAGGTCTCATATGGGGTGTGAGCGCAAAAGAAAAGCAACTCGCTGGACATATGGCAGTGGGCAGTTGGTTAGGAGCAGGAGGATGGGCTGCGAGAGTTGCACTTGTGTGTGCAGCACTGTGAACAAACTCTGCAAATGCCCAAGTCCCCACGGACTCCTAATGCATGCAAAGGGGGAATCTTGCCCACAGGACACAATACAAACAATGAATATGAAACCCACAGCAGAATCAGAATACACTAGAGAAAAATGATCTACAACAAACTTCAAACTGCCATACATCATGACCAAAATATATGCCAGACAATTTAGTACACAGCTATACCAATGCAACTATGAAACAGCTCAACAGACCACATTACCATACAATAAACAGCAAACTACAATAGCCAAACAAAATTCCAAAGAGTTGGAGACCTGACTAGTGTCATATCCGGTCACGTCCAACTATGTGGAGGGTATCAGCTGTCTGCAGATGTTGGGATGCAGTGGCAGTCAGGGGCCGCTGTGGTGCTGCAATCAACAAACGGCGGTGGATGCGTTGCTGGCATGGCTGCGCGCGGGCCCAAATCGCCAACGTTTTAAGGGCACGCGGACAGAACTTCAAGAGCACAGAAGAAACTTGCTCCACAGCTCACAACTCAAAAATCAGGCACATCACAGTTCTGTTGTCCCATTTGAGCTCAACTTTTTGTGGTTAGTACTGCCTTTTCGATTACATTTCTGTTGCCGACACTTACCAGAGCACTGTTCATTGCCATTTTGGCCACCAAGGTCTGGTATTGATTTGCGTATAAATGCCGCTTACACAGCACCACTAAAACACTGCATAAGCCTTGAGCAATGGGCAAAGACTGCAGTCTGCTTTCTCAGGCCAACAAGACGCGTCCAGTTAGCGGCTACAGCCCTGTACCATTCTATATCAATTTCAACTGAACCTTTGGAGCCGACATTCAGAACACACTTCTCAAGCTGCAGGAAATGCATGCAAATGCATTGAAGGGTACATCAGCAGCACACTGACAACAGTTGCAAACTTGCTGGAGCAATGCGTACACTACCCTATGGTTGGAAGACCCCCATCCTTGGGCATGGACAACGAATACGACCTGTGACATACAGATCTAGGCCAACAATTGTGCAAGCCTACCATGGCTTCTGGCCCACATCTCTGGGGCTCTAATATCTCCCAGGCTGTTCTTCAAACACTTTCACCACCACGATATATCATTCTGTTTGCAGTGATCGGTATTTCGTGCAAACATTTCTCCACTCAACAAACCCCACAGCTCACCTCCCCTCCCATTTACTTGGGTTCAGATGAGGAGAACACCGCACACACCCAATTCCTGACTTTCTCATGGACAGCAAGGGGACTTCGAATTGCCAGTGAGCACCTGTACTCCAGGCAGCCAGCTGCAGCATACCTTGATGTATTTGGGGTCGATTTCCATTGCCTTTGTGGCATCCTCGAGAGCTGATCCATAGTTCTCAAGCCGTATGTGAGCAGCAGCCCTATTCGCGTAGTAGATCGCGTTGTCAGGGCTCAAGTCGATCGCCCGACTGTAGGCCTCCACAGCCTGGGCGAAGTGGTGGTCTGACAGGCGGCGGCAACCACAAAACTGCCGTCAGACGATGCGATCGAATCTGGGGCCGCAGCCCAAGCACGCCGGGGGACGCCACTGCACAGGAAATGCCAGGGCTGCAAAGGGCCACACCTGCCACATATCAAGCATCTACTCCGCCCAGCCCGCCGCCGCCTGATCACCCAGCCCTTACCGCGCAGCGAGGCCACGCCACCCCACATGCCTACTCCATAGCCCCCCCACCACACCTTTGAACAGCCCGTTCCCTTCCGCCTTGGACTCCTCCGCCAGCCGTCCGCCCTCCTCGGCCCCACTTGGGCAGTCTTCCGAGGCCGCCGCCATCTTTCCCACCGCCCCAAAGGCCTCGTGGGCTGGGCGCCCCGCGATCGCGCCGGCGCACCGCCGCTAGGCGCGAACGTCGGTCGTCACGAATTCAGCCCGTGGATGGGGTCATTGACGGCGATCCGCGCTTGCCAAGGGTTGGGCTGGCCAACGCAGCCCGGGTGGACAAGGGCCTGTGGACCCGGCGGGCTGCCCACAGCTCGCCAACACCGGCTGTTGGTAGGACCGCAGCTATCGAAAAATGGTGATGCAAGGCAACTGGCCACGGGGTCGGCGCCTTGCAGCGGTGAACAAACGCTCACGTCTACCGGTCGCCGCCCGTGTGGGGGAGCCCACTGTGCCAGTTTGGGGAAGGCGACGCGATCGCGCGGCTGTTGGTGGTCCCTTGTGCGGGCACGCCTGCGGTGACGGGCAGACCCTGTGCTGGACGACTCGCCCACGCTCATTGGGCGTGCGGCTTTCCTGGCTCGCTGAACACAAGCACTTCGATTTGTGGGTAGAGTTCCACGCATGGGTATGCACGGCTGTGCGGAGCAAATACATTAAAATACAGGAGAGGGTTTTGTTGCTGTGCGATATCCGGCCAGAACTGCCTCGGGAAGGCTTGGCGAGGCTGCAAGAAACCGTGCGTTTTTGTTGGGGAAATCTCTTTGATCGGCTAACGATGGGGTTCTTGCTTTTCTGGGCCGCGTGTGCGGGACCGTGCTATGTCCCGTCTGTGAATGGGATTGCTGGCTGTGTAGTTCCACGTGCGTGGCATTGTTGCCACAAGCTGCTTGGGCTGTGACTCAACCTCTCCCAAGACATTCCCAGATGCTCACAATCAGGTCTGCCTCAGTCTGCTGACTCAACTCGATGGCCACGGCGGTGCCATGGTGCGTTTTACTGTGGCAGGGCCGGTATGGCTAGGATGGCCCAGAGGATGGCGACTGGCACCCGTTCCAACCAATGGGATGGTAAGCTGCACACAGCTGCTGTACAACATCTGCAGCCTTTTGGCACAAAAGGGCAACCTTGCGGAGATGCCAGCGCAGCCATTTTCCACAGCATTGCCAGTTATTGTCTGCATACATTGCGATGGGAAGAAAAGATGTGCATAAACTCCAGCCTGAAATCGACTTCCATGTGGAGGGGCAATGGTTTGTCAAGCCCATTTGACTAACATAGTGAACATGAAGCAAGCATCTGTAAGTGCAGTCGAGCTCGAAAGCCATACGCGCCTTATGAGTTGCATACCAAGAGCCTCAGCTACAATAGCAGTGCGTCTCCAATGGCTGCAGCTGATCAACAGGATGCAAAAGGCCTCCCTAGGCACACAAACGACGCCAGTGCCAAAAGAGACGGCCTTGCAGCAGTGGGTCATCACTTGCATCGCAACCATGCATGCTGGCACCTGTCCCACAGTGACGTCTCACCTGCCTGCGACATAGAACGGCATCTTTAAGATCAGTTTGGCAATGTTCTATCGGTGACGTGCCAATCACCATCAACAGCCTTACTGAAACACAACAATACACCATCAGCCCTTTTCCGCACGAAAAGGACATAGGAAAGGCCTCTTGGGCACGAGTTGAGCCCCATTTTGTTAGACATGGCGTCAGTCCACACAACAAGGAGTGCCCCACTGGTCAGAAATGCAAAAGAGGGCATGTACTCGATCACCAGGGATGTGTAGTGTGTACAGGATGTTCCAGAGACTAGACCCAGGAAAGCATTCCCACTTTGCTGGTTGCAAGCCCTGCACTACCCCTTTGGCAATCTCCTTGTGGCGATCGCAGCAGAGGAAAGCTGCTGCGGCAGCATATGAGACTGCAGCAAATGTGGTTCATCATCATCAATTCTGCAGATAATTGCAACAGCGGTGCTCACCGGTAAAGGAACTGAGGCCTTATTTTAGGTGGAAGAAACAATCTCACAACCCTGCACGCTCCTTTGTCCAAATTTACCAGAGACTGTTGTTTCCCTCAGAAGCAGCTTGCCGAATTTTGCCGCAAGCAACTGCACACATGCTCATATGCCAATGCCAATTAGCGCATCAAGACCAAGTCGGGGTACCTTGAAGAGGTCTAGTTGGCTTAGTCCGTTGGACATTCATGAAGAAAAGAACTTCGTTGGCCCGATCCTCACGTTGCCAGTCTCAACCTTCAACACCTGGACGTGGCGGCTATCCCTACGGGATCGCTGTCCCACGGACCACAGATGCCATACGCTGCTGAACGGCGGCCATTGGGCTTGGATGAACAGCCCAAATCAGTCTGCACTTCTGCGTAAGCGCCATGGCACCCCTTTTCCCCCTCAGGCAAGTACAGCCACATTCACCCAGCCGACCCAGTCGACCAATCGCAGTACCTCCAAGCAGGGACATCCAGCTGGTCTGGTGCCTTCTGGTCCAGACAGCCTTGCGGCCCGGCGGATCGCCACGAGGTGTCCCGGCAACTAAAGCGACCTTTCCGACAAGGGACGGGAGGCCCTCAAGAGACTGTGGGCACGAACAATCGGCTTGCACTTCGCTGATATGCAGGATAGATGGGTGCAGAAAATTCATTATCGCACTCATTTATCGTGCCCTAAAATACCACAGTGCACGCAAGGTGAGGACATTGACCTGTCCCCGCCTCGTCCCCCAACCGCCTGTTCCACCTGCGTGTTTTGCTGAACGATGGCGCGGGGCGCTTTCCTCCGCGCGTCTGCGCTCCTCGCTGGCGTCCCGCGGGCTCCATCGGAAGCTCTGTTGCGTTTTCCTTGACGACAACCATCGGGATCGGGCCATTCAGACCAGCGGCAGCCTTGGGCGGCCATCGGAACGGGGTATAGTGATCAAAGCCCCGCTGGGCCGCCCTGCGCGATGGACGGCTTGCGCGGCTGGGACGTTCTGCCGCAAGACTTTCTGAGGGCCGTTCTGGTTGCGACCATGGCTAGCCACACTAGGCCCGAGCAGAGGGCGGTGTTGGTCAGGAGCCTGCGACTGGTGAACCGCGCCTGGTGCCGGGAGACGAGCCGGCTGCCGTCCTGCCTCAAAGTCTCCAGCGGGCCCCTGCGGCGCATCCGCCTGGCCATGCGCGAAAGGTTCGCCGGCGTGCGGACGCTGATGCTGCTGGCGGGCGTGCAGTACCAGTTCAGCGAGCTGCCCTCCCTGCTGTCCTTCCCCAGCCTGGAGGTCCTGGACCTAAGCCTGCTGCCGGAGCGGCTGGGCGGCTACCACGTGGTGGCGTCGCTGCCCTTGAAGATGCGCCTGCACCTGTCCCAGTTCCAGCTCCAGAGCGAGTGGGACGCCCTGAAGCCCCTGGGAGGGATGACGTCGCTGCGGTGCCTGGGACTGGCGCGCTGCGAGCTGTCGGACCATCTGACCCTGTTCAGGGACCTCACGGGCCTCACGTCGATGCGCCTGATCGCCTGCACCACGCCCGACGCCGGGGTGGCCTGCCTCTGGCGCATGCCCTGGCTGAGGGAGCTGTGGATGGACTTGTGCATCGACGTCACGGACGGCGGCCTGGCGGGCCTGTCCAACCTCGTGGGCCTGACCAAGCTGAAGATCGGCCGGATGCAGAGAGTCGAGGACGCCGGCATACGGGGGATCAGCGAGCTGGTGAGTTTGTCCGAGCTGTCTCTGAGGGACTTAGGGAAGATCGACAACGACCAGTGTATCAGGGGGCTGACGAGCCTCACCGGCCTCACGAGGCTGGAGCTGCGCGACCTGGGGTACAAATGGGTCGGGGGCACGCGCGGGGACTACTTGACCGCATTCTCTGGGCTCTTGGAGCTGGATATATCGGGGAGCGCGTTGGTGGACGACGTCGCCCTTGAGCTGTTAACGGACCTGACGTCCCTGAGGGTTCTGACGGCGCGGTACATGCCCTCCAACGTGTCTGCCTCGACGTGGCAGCTGCTGCTGGACGCTTTGCCCGGCCTGGAGCTGCACAAGGACGAAGAGATGGACTTGGAGGCCGGGTGAGGGTGGGTGGTTGGTGCAGAATCTGCACTGCAGGGGGTGCAACGGGTGAATGGCCGCTGTGGTAGTGCCCTTTCGGTTCATCTTGTGCGTGACACAGTTGTGGCTGGCAGAAGCATGGCGTGTCCGAACGTAGGCGACATGCAAGGGGTGGGGGTTGGGGGGCGCTGCAAAAGGAGCGTTTCAGGGCATCCTTTGCAGTCCTCTGTTGAATATGAATTGCCTCAACCTGTGTTGTCCACCAGGGCATGCATTTGCCATTGCACTCGTAACCAGGGTGGTGTTTTGTGTTATTTGGCACTGCCAGTAGAGGACTGGTCGGTTTCTCTATTGTGTGAAAGAGAGTTGTGTGAATCCTTGACTTTGTTCTGGGTTGGAAGAAGAGGCTCAATTGCTTTTCTGGGGCATCGTCCCAAAATTTGTGGAGTTTGTTGGTGTGCAAAGCACACTTGGCGTGTACGATTGCACGAGGAGCCATATGACTATGCTTTTGGTTCATGTATAGCTACGCGTATTGGGTTATTAAAGCTGCACTCAGCGCCTAGTGTAATCATGATTTGAATGCAGCATTGCCATTGGTCAAGCACAGATAGAGGGACATGACAGCAACCTTTGGCATATCATATCCTTGAGAGAAGGGACTTTAGCATGGATAATGTGGATGTGCGGTATGGCAAAGTCACACTATGTCCCGAAATATTTTCGTCGATGTTCGAGCACACGCCGTGATAATCCTTGTGCGGGTCTTGCATTGCACAGGGCGAAAACGGCTTTTTGCCCAACAGCCAGGACCAGATGGGCCTGGCTTCGCAGTTCTCGGGCCGCAGTTGCTCTGCTACAGGAGAGAAAAGCTCGAACAATTGCCATGAAACCCTTCGGATCAACACAACACCTGACATACAGGGCGCAAGGCGGTCGGCGCATATCAGGCAGCAACACCACGGACGGTTTTGCAGAAAGTGTTGATTTGGTTTGGGACACCCGGCGTTCGCCTTCCCCGAACCTTCCGGTTGGCCGTCAGTGGGGCTGCCGGATCCGCCCATGTGGCCCATGTCAGCGGCAACGGCCCAACCGCAAATGCCACCGCCCCCTGCACCACACCCCAATTCCCCCTCCCACCGCGTGACCCCACGGCCGCCGGCCACAGGCGCACCTCGAGCCAACCCTACCGGCCCGCGCCGGCCGCATGAACCACCAGAAGAGCCAGGCGCCCTCGCTGGCCGTGCGCGGCGGCAGGGGCGCCTCGCCGTCGCTGGAGCCCCTACTAAAGCCCTTCGTCGAGCGCCTGGTGCGCCGGGTGCTGCTGCACTTCGCCGACTTCCAGGACTCCCTGCTGTCCGTGGCCGCCCTGCGGCGCGTGGCCCTCTACGCCCTCCGCCCGCGCTGCTTCCAGGCGCTCCGCCACGCCTTCGTGCGCCCGTCCCAGCTGCGGGAGCGCTTCGACGACATTCCCTACTTCGTGGACGACGACGCGCGGGCGATCATCCTGCAGGCCGCCTACCTGGCCTGGAGCTCGGAGGCGGGGGGCCGGGGGCGGGACCTGGCCAGCCTGGGGCGGGTGCTCATCCACACGAATGCCGATCACAGCGGGAAGTTCCAAGAGGCGGTGGCGCGCGCGGCCGCCTGCGAGCTGGGCGCCGCGCTGCTGGTCGTGGACGCGGGGGCGCTGAACGGATTGGCGCTCGCTACGCTTGGCCGACGGCTTGACGCCCCGGCCGGGCAGAGGGCGGGCGAGGAGGGGATGTCTTTGGCTGGTCTGGCGTCGTGGTTTCTGAAGGGCGGCCGGCGCGCGTTCGTGTGGGACTTGGTGCGGGAGTTCTGCGAGGCGGCGCCCGGGCCGATCGTGCTGTTCGTGCGCGACGTGGAGCAGACGGTGTGCGGCAGCGTGGAGGGTGCGGAGGCGTTTGTGCAGGCGCTGGGGGCGGCTGCGCGGGATGCGGGCGGCCTTGGCCTGCCCTCCAGGACGGTGGTCGTCGCCGGCACGTCGCTGAGGGAGTTCGGCGCCGACCGGATAGGCCGGCCCGGGGAGGGGGACAGCTCGGATGATGACCCGTTCGGCGGGGACGGATCCCCGTTCTCGGGCCCCAGCTCGAACCCATCGGGCCTGGACGACAGTCCGTCCATTTTGTCGGAGCTGGGGTGGCGGGGCGGCGGGGACAGGGTGGACGTGAAGGGGATGCTGGCCAAGCTGTTCACCGTCCGGGTGAGCATACAGCCCCCGCAGGAAGGGCCGGGGGCGGTGGACCACCGGCAGCAGCTGGCGAGGGACTTCGACGACATTAAGGCGGAGCAGAACCACGCCTGCGCCTTCGGCGTCGCCCGCTCCGCGGGGGTGTGCGTCCCGCCAGCGGACAGCCGTGTGTACAGGCGCAAGCCGCTGTCGGGCTCGGATTGGGCAAGGGTGCTGTCGTGGGCGGTGTCCCAGGAGCTGCACCAGCGAAGGGGCGAAGGGGAGGGCGGGGAGCCGAGTGCGGGCTGTGAAGATGAGAGGGCGCTGGCTTGTGGGGAGGAGGAGGCGTCGAGCGCCGGGAGCGCAAGGGAAAGGGAGGAGGTGGCTGGGACGCCCGGGTTTGCCGGAAGGCTGAGAAGGGGCATGGTATCCCGGGATGGCAGCATGTTTTCTCTGGAAGAAGTGCAGAAACGGCTTCAATTTCTGGCGAAACCGAGGGATGCTACGCTGCCGCAGGGGGAGGACGATGGATTTGGTGGCCTGGCGAAGTCGGAGCAACAGGGGAAGCACGGAGGCGTGTCAGATAGGGAGCAGGATTCAACATGTGACGATGATGACCTCCTGGAAGTTGGTGAAGGTGCGGTGTTGTATGGGCTAGCGATGTTGGACAGGTGTGGGGTGTCCAGGGGCCAGATAAAGACTGACAACAGCTACGAGCGCAGGCTGCTGTCAGAGGTTTTGCGCCCGGGTGAGCTCGGTTCAGGGTTTGCAGACGTTGGTGCCCTATCAGCAGCAAAAGTTGCACTACGAGAGGCCGTCCAGCTGCCCTTGCAGCATCCAGAGCTCTTCCTTCAGGGCTCGTTGATCAGACCGTCAAAAGGTGTGCTCCTGTTTGGGCCCCCAGGGACCGGGAAGACTATGCTTGCAAGGGCAGCGGCTGCTGAGTGTGGAGCCAGCTTCTTGGCTATCCAGCCAAGCAGCATTCTGTCAAAGTGGGTTGGGGAGGGTGTGCGGAACGTCCGGGCACTTTTCTCCCTGGCAGAGAAGCTGTCGCCATGTGTGTTGTTCTGCGATGAGCTGGATGCGATTCTGGGGCAACGGACCATGCAAGAGCACGAGGCTATGAGGGAGCTGAAGAACGAGTTCATGTCACAATGGGACGGCATCCGGTCAGGGGGTGCTTGCACTTCCACTCGCATCATGGTCCTTGGTGCCACAAACCGGCCACAGGACATCGACGAGGCTGTTCTGCGAAGGTTCAGCCACAGGATATTTTGCGACCTTCCCACGTTGGATGATCGCCTGGCTATCTTGAAGGTCCTGCTGAGTGGGGAGGTGCTTGATGAGACTGTCGACCTGAAGGAAGTGGCCAGAATGACAGATGGGCACAGTGGCAGCGACCTGAGGCAGTTTTGCATAGCAGCTGCCATGCGGCCACTCCGGGAGTTTCTCAAGGAACACAGCATGGCCAAGGAGGGCAAAGTGGCAGGATCAGCAGAGAGGCATCAAGGGGTCAGCAAGGTTGATGCAGCATCTTTTGCAGCCAGTCAACGTCCAACAGTGAGTTCCTACAATGCTGCGGACGGCCATACAGCCAAGGGTGTGGAGAGTCTTGACTTGGAGGCCTTGGCAGAGACCACCAATGGCTCCGGTATTGGTTGCAGCAGAGCTTTGAAATGGCGATCCTACAGCCAAGGTGACATGGCCAGTGACCCCAACGAAGGAGGTGCATTGAATGCGGGGACGGGTTTGGCTCTGTTCGAGGGCCTTGGAGTCTCTACAGGGAAGAGCGGGCAGGCAGACGCAAATAAGAATAACACAGAGTCGGCATGGAGGGAACTGGAGGAATGGGTGCAGGCTCCAGCCAGGGGAAAGGCAGCAGCACAGCTCGTTTCTCAGGATTATGAAAGAGTGGTGGGCAGCCTGGGGACTGGAACGACGAAAATGCGCGCCCTACAGATGGAAGACTTCAGGTGCGCTCGGAAGTGTGTAGCACCCTCGGTGGAGGCCGAGGGTGAGAGCATTGCAGAGTTGAGGCGGTGGAGCGAAAAGTTTGGTGATGGGAGCAGCCGCAGGAGTGCAGCGGACCCCAAGCTGAGCTACTTTTTGTGAGCGATTCTTTGCCCTCAGGCTTTTGCCTTTTGCCTTGCGTCTTGGGGCAGCACCACTGAGGGCCAGTGGTGTTTCGATTCACCCCCGAGCAGATACATATTTCGTTATAGGTGGGTACGTAGGGGTTTGGGTAAAGAAGAGAGAGACGGCGCCCCTGCAGCGTTGCTTGTTGGCTTGGTGCTGCAGAGCGGGTTCGTGAGTGACGGACTGAAGTTTGCCAGGTTTCGTGCTTGGGTATGAAACGGGCGGAGGTGCACAGCTGCCTTGGCGGGGCTGAGATTGTTGGCTTGCCACAGGTCCTGCAGCATTCCACTTGCTTCTTTGGCCTTTTAGGGCCATACGGCAGGTGAGAGTGCGTAGCAGCTCTCCATCTGCTCCTTAAAGGTCAATAGGGCAATAGTGTGCGTGCAACACACGGACCTGGGTTTCACAGTTTAAAATTTTGTCCATTCTTTACTGCGGTCTACTGAGCGTGGATTGCTGCGTGCCAGCTCTAAGCCATGGTTGCGTTGTGGGTTCCCAGCATCTCCCTGGCAAAGGCACCAGGGAGGGCCGGTCGCGCACTTCCACATTCTGCCACATGCCTATGCATGCTTGGGCCCATGCAGGCGATCTGTAGCCCGCATGCCCCACAGTGCCATCAGAGACACCCGGGGCGTCGTGAGCAACGAATACTCGCGCTGTCACTCTGCACGGATAGCACCAACTCAAACATTAATCTTCGGTTGGGTTAGGTTCTAGACTCTGCTGGTATCCCTACGTACTTCGTATCTTGCACCTGCGCTTGGCACCTGTTGGGCGCCAAGGGCTTCGAAGGTCTCAGTGAAGCAGCAAAGCTCGTGGGGGCGCGTCCCATAAGCGGCTCCCGAATGTGGGTGCACGTTCCAGGCAGGCAGCTCCAGAATTTGGAATCCAAACGTAGTCAGTCCATCAGCAATGGCATGGAAAAGAAACGCGCATGTGCGGCAGCAGCTGCCAATGGATTTCCGGCTATCGGAGAGCCAATGAAGCACTGGGCGTGGCACGTGTCCAGCGGACACGGACGATCAAGGCACCCTCAGAACCTGCCGTCCTGGGGGCTGGATCGAACGCTGGCACTGGCAGATGCCAGATCAAACGCCGTGGCGCTGCGAGGCCCCATGATTTCCACGCCTTTCCCATGTTCACCCTCCATGACTCGGTGCCACTTCGCTGCAAACCGCGCTTGCATCACCGTCATGATCATGAGAAAACACACAAAAAGACCAAACCATAACTCCCAACGCCCCAAAACCAGTTTCCTTTGATTACATTCCCGCCGTTAAAGAATGGGCGTGCTGGGACTTCTCCACAAAGCCAGCCAGCGAACACCTGCCGCTCCCTGCCCTTGCCCCCGGCGCCTCGCCTCGCGCCTGCCCCCTCCCAGCCGGCGGCCAGCCTGAGCCCGGCGGGCCGGCGGGGGCCTCATCCGTCTTTCCCAGCCCATGGCGCAGCGGCCGCCGCCCGGGTCGTGAGCCTCAGCGCGGTGAGGGACCGCCGCCCGCTCCCAGTCGGCCGCTCCCCCCCCCGCCCCCTCCCCCGCATCTGCCTGGCCGCAAAAATGGCACAGGCGCCGGAGGCAGAGTGCTGGGAGGACCTGGAGCAGCTGACCCTGGGAGACCCCGGATCCAAAATCGAGGCCGTCGGAGCGGCGCAAGGAGGCGCGGAGGCAATGTGAGAGCGGGCGAGGGCGTCCTCACTCCTCCCTCTGGCCCCCCCCCCCAGGCGCCCTTTCCCTGTACTGGTGGGACGACTTTTGGACTTGATCGCGGGATATCCCTGACACGCGTGCCCGTGGCGCAGAACATCCAATGGAGAGGCGCCGGGCGGGCAGGTGCCGGCGGTGGACACAGCGCCATGCTTCCGCGATGGGCGGCCCGCCGGCGCCGCCGGCGGGGCCGGGACGCCCGCCTCCGAGCCGGCGGACGCCCAGGAGGTGGACAAGGCGATAGCGGAGGCGCTGTGCAACCCACGCGAGAGGGCAACCGGTTGGCCCCCCACCCCTTCCCCCCGCGCCACCCCTCCCGCGCCTTCCCAATCGCCATCGCGCCACCCCAGAATCTGACGGGAGGAATGGGCGAATACTCACCGGCTGCGGCCCCCGGCTGACGGCCCGCGCTCCGTTTGCCCGCAGCGCTGCGCATCGACGCCGAGGTGGAGCAATTTGTGGCCGACACGTCGCGAATGGTGATGGAGTTTCCACAGGAGATGACTGGATACCAGGTGACACCCTGCGCTGAGCCCCGCCTCGCCTACCGTCCCTGTCCACTTGGAGTGCCCGAATGCTGAGGGCTTGCTGGTGTGTGGTTGTGTGTGTGCTGCAGCGCCTTCTCGCCCACCGGATATCGCAGCACTATGGGTTGCAGACGAGCTCGGTCCCTGGGGTCAGGAGTCAATCGCGTGTGGTCGCTCGCCGCTGTGCTCAGACAAGAATTCCGAAGGTGAGGAGCCACGCCGGCTGCCCTGTGTACGCCCGTCATATTCTAGCCCTTGATTGCTTGGATTGCTCTTGCCTCAGTGAGCAAAAGAAGGACGCCTACGCCTTACTGTCGGAGATGGCGGGCGGCCTGCCATCGAAAGCATTTTTGTTCCTCGTCCTTCGTGTCGCCGCTCACCACCTGTTTGCAGCAAGCACAAGTGTTGGTTTGGTGTCCAGCTCGCTTGTGGCTGATAGCTGGCGCTGGAGGATCTGGTATTGTGCTGCCTGTGCTCATTGCATAAATTGCCAAACTGTACATTGCATTTGCCACTGCCTGCCAGCTGCAGTCGAAACGTTCTCCAGAGACCTGTGTGATACTGATTTGTGAGCATCACACCAAGATAAGCACTGAGATCTTTGCGCCCACATTATCTGTGCTGTGCTGGCCTGCTTGCTTGGCTCATAACAGTGGGATGGTGTTGGCGAGTGCCTCACCCGCAACGGATCACCTTTGCCTTTCATGATTGCTGAAGACACAATGGAGGATTGCCTGTATGGGCATTGGCTGTGTTGCACACTGTGTTGCAGAATGTCTTTGTGCATGTGCCAGGTTTCTGAACAAACCTGAGTGGTAGTATCCTGTGCACTTTCTGCACTATTCTTGTGATTGGATTCAGCACAGCTATCGAAAATCAAATGTGACATCTGACAGAAGCAAACGATTCTGGTGGGCACATGGAATCCCCCTGGGGGTGTCTCAACCCCAGCTATCATCTGTCTGTGTATCTCCCACACCACTTGTTCACCTCTTACTCCTGTGTCCTGTATTGGTGTGCACTAATGATGTGTGCACAATGCACCCTGCAGGTGAAGATAACAGAACTAAAGAATGTTCATTGCCCTCCGGAGGCAACCAAGGCTGCTCCAGAGGTTACCATCAAGCGCAGGCTTGGAGGGGCCGCCTGCAGGCCATCTGCTCCTCATGCTGGCGATGGCAGTGGCCCCACATCCAGCCAGGTCAGGACAGTGAAGGAGAGGGAGCAGGAGTACAAGGCTGCAAGGGACAGGATATTGGGGGAGTCGTCAGAGTCTGGGAGAGGGGGTGGCAGTGTTGCTGGCCAGAAGGAGAATGTGGTTGACAAGGGTCAGAAGGCGGCAGACGATCCAAAGAGCAAGGCGGTGTTCAGAAATCGCGAGAAGGAGATGCAGGACCCCGATTATCGGCGTAGACCCAGTCGGTGTGTGGCCTTTGTGCAGTGCTTGGCTGTCTGCTTGTGCTGTCTTTGCCGAGATTTGCAAGTGACGTCGTCCGAACGTGGTGTTTTCTTTTGTGTTCTAGTGTGGAGTGGTGGTCAACACAGCATGGAGTTTCGTCACTATCCAATGTGTTGTTGACCAAGGCCGCAGCCTTGTCCAAACGCATCTGCTGATACAGAGTTAAGAAGGTGCTCTGTGCTGCCAAAAATGGCGTGAGAATTTGGTGTTGATGCCTTTGTAGCGGTCGATTGCATTTGCAACTATATGGCTGGCCACTGCCCTTGCATTTTGAAGGCGATGGTAAGCACTATTGGCAGTCATCACTTTGTGCATCAGCGAATCGCGCAGGGCATCCGCATTGGCCCTGGCCAGTGTCTTGTCGGTGGCGAAGGCTGTCTCTGTAGCAAGCAACAAACTTATCAAACAATGGTCATGCACCATTGGGCAAGAATCTCTGTGAGAGCCTTGCCCTGTACTGGAGAAGATGTGAATTCTCCTACAACAAGAAGAATAGTGTTGCCACCCGTGTGTACACCTCATTTCAGCTTGTAGGACCAGCTGCCTGCAAAGTGCCGTGCTGTGCGGCTGACTGGCAGTCGCCTGGTGCATTGCTGACAGCTAAGGTGTTGCATCCTGCAGGTTTCAACGCGGCTTTGATCCAAATGGTGCAAACTACTTTGACAGGCAAAATGCACAGGGAATGTACAATGTCCGGTCCTACAACACAGAGGTGAGCTGTGCCTCGGTGATTGAGCACTGTCTGTGCTGTGCGAGGACACTCCCCCCATGACAACATTCAGAGTGCTTGTTGCACATATGATGGTCAGGCTGTGAAGAATCCAAGCGATCTGCCAGAGAACTCTTGGGAAACTGTGTGCATCGCTGCTATCACATGTCCTCTGTGTCAATTTGCCATGGACCCTGACAGCCACACTGGATGTCGAAACATGTGCACCACCCTATTGGTTGTGTTGTTAGTCTTCTGGATAAGGTTGTGGGGTCATATCTTACCTACCTTTAGTTATGATCAAGGTGGAGTGTGGTTGACCGCAAAGGACAAGGGCATCTGAGCATGGTTTAATCCTGTGGTCATGTCGCATTGGAGAGATACACAGCGCACCCCAGTGCATGACTTTGTATGAACGAGACTGCACATGACGCAGCACAGACATTCTGTTACCTGACAACATCTGTTTTCTCTTCGCTGCAGTTCCCCGTGTTGTCAGGGGCGAGGTCAGCCCCAACCAACGTGGCCGCTGCGCCATTCTATCCGCCATCCATGACCCAGTGGCCCCACCACGGGGGGAGCGTCCCCTCTGCTCCAGCACGGACCAACTCACTGGGCAACCACGAACAGGGCGGCTTCCAGCAGAGCATGTCTGGGCCCATGACTCCGGGCCCACAACCCTACAGCATGCCTGCCTTCACGATGCCCCCCCACCACTACTCAATGCCCAGGATGCACTACGCATACCCACCTGACATGATGGCAGGACCTTCTCCGCCTGGGGCGATGTACCCACCACCCGCTGGTTCTCAGCACATGCCTTTCAGGCCAGTGGGGATGGGCCAGTATAGGGGTATGCCGGGCTATATGATCCCCTCGATGCCTGGACAAGAGGGCATGGGCATGGTGCCCTCCATGCCTTACCCAATGTATGGTGCCTATCCCAACCACCCCATGGGGTACCCGGACTATGGGGACATGCATGGGTACCACGGACAACACATGGTTAATGGCTTTGCCATGGCTGGGCATCACGACGCCAGCTCGGCAGCAGGAGGTGGCGAGCATGCAGGCCGTGGGGCAGGAGGCGGTGGGGGAGGCTGCTCCTCTCCAAGGGCCGACGCTGGCAGTGTGGCGCCAAAGGTCGAGAACACCAGCAAGCCTCAAGCTGTGGAGAATTGAGCACCGCAGGGCGAGCCCTTGGCAACGCCTCGACACCACAGGTGCGCCCAGAAACGAAAGGATATAGTGTTTGTCTTCAGCAGCTGTAGGAGCCAGGAGCCGGTGGAAGGTTTAGATTCGAGTCGTGGGCGTAGAGCAGAGCAGGCATCGACTCTGTGGGATTTCTAAGCACTTGTGGCTCCCTTGCGGGTTTTCTCTGCGGGCGTGGAGAGAAGTCATGGGAGCAAATCGCTGAAGGAGGTGCAGACGAGCGAACCTGCCGTTCGGGCTTTGCAAACTTCTCTTTGTGAAGTCACTGTTTCATCCCAGGGGGCGAGTAAGGGAGGGGAGCTGCTCCGATGGGGAGGCCTTGGGGAAACGCCAATTGCAATTCATTGTGCAGCACACGCTCTGTCTGTGACCGAGGGAATGGGAGTAGAGGGTGGCAGATGGAAAGGGCAGCCAAGCCAGCAAGGTTGAGGGGCGACTGGGGACGATACCTGCAGCTGGATGCGCGTGGTGTGGTCCAAGCGGACAGCGGATGTAACCATTCCCGGCTTGTAATTGATTGGGTATTTTTTGCTGACGTTGCCACCGTTGGTGGGGCCACATGCGCGATTCGTGGTGGCTCCATTGAGACGCACGACCGAAAGCAAAACGAACGGCGCACGACTCGAACGTATCCATTCCACACCGGTAGCCCCGGCCACAGACACGGCGAGCATCCGGTGGCCACCTCCCCTGCGCAGCCGCCGTTCCGATGTGTTTTCGCGATGATATTCGGATGACCGAGAAGCACCAAAGGCGCAGCAGCACCAACTGGTAAAGACGCTCCCAGTCACCGAAACAAGCCCGACCCCACGCGAACGCAGCTTACGTAATCATACAGCCAGGCCCACGTGGTGCTGCATCGCCCCGTACCTTCTAAACCTCGCCGCTCCACAAAGCCCAACCCCCCGTCGGCCAAAAGCAATACACCCCTAAAAGGCCCTCCAGCGCCGCAGGAAAAGCGCCGTACAAAAGGGCGCAATTCGCTCATGCCAGCAAAAACGCGGGCCCCCTCCCCATTGTGATGGCCGAGTCGTCCACGTGGCCAGCGCGCATTCCGCACGCGCGGGCGGCGGGGCAGAAAGGGCCCCGCCCACCGGCCATTGAGGGCGCCGGCGCCCGACCCACCCCGACCAAGCCCACCCCCCCTCCCCCTGGCCAGGGTCCCATAAGGAGGCCGCCCCCCAGGAAGAAGCGCGCAAAGCCACCCGCACACGCCGCTGCTCGCGGTCAAGGCGCCAATCGCCGATCCGCAATGTCCCAGTGGCGCCTGTGCGACCCCAGGCTGGATGCCCATGCCGCCGTGGTGGGGCCGTGCGTGCAGTTCTCATCGACGCGCCGGCCATGCCATTCGCGGCTCAGGCCGCAATGCTGCATCCCTTCCACGAGCGCCGAGGCCCCGGCGGTGGTCACGGAACGCGCGAGCGGCGAGCGGCGCCTCGGGCGTGGGGGAGGGATGCGGCGGAAGGGTGCGATCGATGGGGCCCCAGCGGTTGATGGGTCGGTGGCGGAGGAGGGGGGGCAAGGGGGGGGCCCGGCGTCGCCCGGGTCGCTGGGGTATTTTGAAGGCGCGCCGTCGGACGCGCTGATGGGGATGTTCAGCAGCCTGATGGTGGAGGACCGGCTGGACGCGGCGTTGGAGGTTTTGCGCAGGCTGGTGCAGGCCAACCGGCTGGACGTGCTGGGCAGGTAGGCGGGAGGGGGTCGACGGGTGTCAGGGCGCGAGCTTGGGCGGCGATGGGACAAGGGCCCGGAATGCTTTTGCTTTTCTTTGATTCTTTTCCTGAGACTCGGGCGAGGGTCAATGGCGCGAGCACCCGTGCGGTAGTGCGTGTGCGGCCCCCTCGGCCGGCTGCGCGGCCCTCGGCTCGGGGATCGGCGAGGGCGGGGCATTGCATTTGGGAGGCATGGCGCCGAATGGGTGGGCGCGGAGTCGCCGGAGTTCGCGCGTTGATCTGCGCGGTGCGCTGGCACGCGCGTCCCCCTTGCGCGGCTTGCGTGCCGTTGTTGGCTTCGCCCCCGCGTGTACCGGCGCCGCCCTATCAGCGGCAGGGCAACGCTTCGTTCAGTCTTACCCAGGTAGTTAACGAGGGACTGCGTGCCTGCTCCTACCGATGCGCGCAGCTGGTTCCGCCCTGTCTTCGTGAGCGCCCACGCGCCGTTCGCTGTGCTGCGCGTCCAGTCAGAGACTTGTGCGTCATCTTCCATGGTGGTGAACGGTGTCTCACACGGATTGCGAGCTCCAGGGTGGGGAGGGGGGGGGGGGATTGCGCTTGAAACTGTGCACTTTTTTGTTGAGGGACAATCTTGACGTGGCCGTGCGTGCTTGGGACGCGCAGGGTGAGGCACAAGGACTTCCTGCGGCGCGCCGCTGACCGGAAGGCAGTGAAGCTGGCTTTCAGGTTCCTGCAGGTGCTGCCCAGGGAGTTTGTGGACGCGCGGACGTACAATATGTTGGTCACCGTGTGTGTCAGAGCTTCGAACTTGGCGGCTGCGCTCAAGGCTGCGGACATGATGAAGAGCACGGGCTTGAAGCTGGACGTGTACTTGTACACCAATCTCATCAAAGGTGCGAGGGATGTGCAGCACATTCTGGAAGTATTCCGTGAGTATTGCTCAAGCTGGAATCATAAAAGGAAGTAATCGACAGCTTCAGATACACTCGAACATTGGCGATTCAGCTTTCTGCTGTATGAAGGGTGCTCAGTATTTTGCACTTGCTGGAGATGACTGTTTGACATTTTAAACACCGTTATCGCCAACTGTTGTGTGTCGCTTCCCCTTTCAAAGTCACTGGTGAAAGCTGGACCTGCACCCCTGCTTGTTGCACTCCCTCATGCGATGTTTGGCAAGCATGCACTTGTTCGCTGTTTCAAATCCAGTGGCCAACTTCCCGGCACCTTATTGCTGGTTAAAGTCCATGAGTTGCCATGTCTTCAACGAAAGGAGCAGCACCCCAGGACCTTGAGAGGGTGATGTCGCAAATTTGCACAGCCAAATAATCGTTTGAAACTGCCCTCCTACATGACCTGCACCACTCGCCATGTTTGCCGCCTGCGCGAATGTACCGATCTCTTTGGTTACCAGTGCTGCTATGATAACATACTGGGCATGACAGCCTTCTTGCTATCTTTGGTCCAGCGAGCAGCTGTGGTGCGAATTCCACGCAATGGGACCTTCCTGGAAGCCACGTCCATGTGACCTTGCCACCAAACCATTCTGGCCTTGTGTGTGTTGCAGCCTGCTCTGTCGCCGGAGACGTCAACACTGCTTTCGACTTGTATGCGGAATTGAAGTCCGCAGGCATCAGGCCAGATTGCCAGGTACACAGTGTCCTCACAAGCACATGCGCCCAGGCCATGAAGAATCCCCAGCTTGAGCGGAGGGAGCAGCTGGTTTTACTTGAGCGCGCCGTCCACCTTTTGGAAGACATGAAGAACAGCAACTTGAAACCTGACACTGCAAACTGGAACACTCTGATGGGCTGTGCTGCTCAGGCTGGGCAGCTGCCGCGCGCCTTTGAGGTGGGGCAACGTGCTTTTGAGTCCTCAGCAGCATTAGCTGGAACATTGCAGATGCTGTACTGGGAAGCACATTGCAGGAAATGCTGTACAGCACAGTTTTGGAAATGGTGCGGGGTAGTTTCAGTGCTCCTGCTGTGCTGGCCTACAGTTCTCAGCTTTGAAAGAAGAGCCTCGCTCGAAATTTATGACAAGAGTGGTTTGGTTGTTTGGTTGAGTTAAAAGTGCTGTCAGTCAAGAAGAGCAACTTGCCATGTGGGGTGTTCTGCGACTTGTGGTTGACGCACTGGGTGCGGTTCTTTTGCAGATGCTGCAGTCAATGGAAGAGAGCGGATGCATACCGGATGCATTCACATATTCTGTCCTCATCGATGCCTGCAGCAAGGCGAATGACAAGGATGCAGCCCTGAAAGTGTACAAACGGGCTCTCAAGGAGGTGTGCAAAGCCAACCATTGCAGTGAACTGGGTGTAGAATTCCTGGAATGAACTTGTCCACAAGGGGACATGGCGCGACCTGTCCACCGGCAAGGCGATGTGATGTTCACAGTGGTCCTGAACATGATTTCTTGAAAACCAAATTCCAAATTGCATTGCAGTGGAATCTGTTTTACTAGTCAGACTGCACAGCATATCCATTTTGGGAAGTGGTGTGTCACCATCTCAGCTGACGCCTCACCAAGCATGTCTGTTATCCCAAACTTGAGTTTCTTGTTGTGACCAATATTGCCCATTTAGCAGCAGCGCAGGTGATGGATGATGCACAGCCTGTTGCTTCCTGTCTGTTGTGTCATTCCTACACTTCACACAAAACAGGTCGAGACAATTGGTCCAGGAATCTGATTGCGTAGAAAGTGGAGGCTCTCCTGAAATCCCTACAGCTCTGCAAGATCAGTCGTCTTGAGCAAATGGAGTGGCACTGTTTTGGCCAGAAAGGGCAAATGTTGTCCAGTCACAGTTGTGCTGACACATGAATGACTCTTCCAATTGTTCTATTCACCTTCTGTTCCAAGGATTGAAAGATACAGGTGCTCATGCTTTTGTGGTGTGGGACAGGGTGTGGAGCCAACTGTCGTGCTGTTCACGTCTGCTGTACAAGCATGCACATTGGAAGGTGATGTCAACCTGGAAACGGTTTTGGGGATATATAGTGACCTTGGGCAGCATGGCGTCAAGCCAGATAGCCACTTCTATGCTGCGCTCATTAGGGCGGCTGGCATGGCCCGCAACTTGGACTTGGCATTTTCCCTGCGTGAGGACATGAAGACAGATCACATTGAGGCTTCCACGCCCATATGCTCGGCGCTCATTGGGGCTGCTCTATTCAACAGCAAGTTGGGCCTTGCTGACAGTGTGTATCAGGACTTCGCCTCTCGGAAGATTTTCCCTTGCAAAAGGCAGTTCAACGTCCTGCTCACGGCACACGCGCGTCGGTCTGGACTGCGCAAGGTGATCGAGGTGATGAAGGACTTTGTTGCTGTGCCTCTGGAGCCAGATGTGTACACATACACTGCGATTCTTTCAGCCTGCCAGAGGGTGGACGAGGCCGAGCTGGCTTATGAGATTGCCCAGGACATGAAGAGGCACGGGATCCCGTGGGACGAGGTTGGTGGCACTGTGCAGATGCTGGCAATGGCCTTTGGATCACTACAACTGGGCACCATTGCAACAGCAGCAACCTAAGCGGCTGGCATGGCAATTTGAGTACACTCGTGAGAGCGGAGAGCCGCCTATTGGGTGCAGTACTGTTGCAAGTTGGCTGTTGGTTGCTTGCGCATGGGGTCGTTTGCATGCACAGCATATTCTTTGGCATGTTGCACCTCCCGTTGGTTCTGGCACACCCGATCAGTGAGCCTGGTAGCACAAGGGACGAACGTGGGGAAGATTTGGTGTTGGGTTTGTCTAATGCCTGTTCATGCCATGGACACGGGTTGTTTTGCTGCTTCCATCAGCCGCAGTGGAACGTCATCATCCTATGTACATTACTCATGGGTTCTGGCCTGGGAAACTGGATGTCTTCCTGTTACCCCCTGTTTGATTGCCCTATGGGTTGTTGAACCACCAAAATTTGTCACTATTGACATTGTTTCGTGCATGATCGCCTTTTGGCTTGGCTATTGGCAGGGCATCTGCTTCACGATGCTGCGCATATGCTACAATCGCCTGTGGGCAATCAGGCACCAAGGGACCAACAGCAGCCATGTGCACCTTCACCCCCCATCACCTGAGGCATGGAAGCTTTTGGAGACACTTGGCATACAGAGCCCCGAGGTGCCGAAGTCGCAGGTGTCCTCAGACTCCTGCTGGGTGGACCGGGCGGTGTCCATCTACAAGGACACACTGTCAAGCAGCTACACCCCGACCATCAAGGTTCTGGACAGGCTGTTTGCATGTCTCAGGATTCCAAGGAGCAGGCTGCCAGAGGATGCCCTCACGCCATTCAGAATGACTGCCCACAATTTGCGCGAGGTGCAGCAGTTGCATCTCCGACAGACATCCAACGATGGCAACGCCTTGAGCGGTGCCAGCGAATCCAACATCTTTGATCCCAGGTTGGTTGCGTGGCTGTGTGCAAATCCTGCAACCTGCAAACTTGCATCCCTGCAGTTCTGGTGAAGTGAGCCCTAACACTTGCAACTGGGCCGGTTTCCTTTTAAGCTCTGGGACGTCGCCCACAAAGGGTTGATTGAGAGTCAGAGTGGTACCAGTTGCCCTGTTGGAGCACGCTTTTGTTTGCATTGTAATTCACGGAAAGGAGGGGTGCAGATGAAGAAAACAAGGGACAAAGATAAACACCTTCAGGTAGTGCAACGGCGAGGGTATGTGCGCTTGCTCGGGAACATACTTTGCATCGAGTGGTACATCCACTGCAGCCGAACCTGTTGGCCTCAAAACCAGGCATTGCTTAAAGCAATTGGCTGATAGTATGTGATGCCTTGAATATTGCAGTGGCCCCCCTCGCTGCACTGTTCGTGTCAGTGCTGGTGTTGCTGTCAAGTGCATCGTTATGGCCCTTGGATGCGTTCTGAGTGTCAGAGTGCATGCAATGCCCCCAGAGCCATCCGCATCGCAAAGGAAGCCATCTCCAAACGTGCTCTGCCACAGTTTTACCTGGACCGTGTGTGCGAGCTGGACCTACGTGGCATGCCCCCTGCTGTGGCAGAGGTCTACGTTCTCACACTGTTCGAGTCCTTGAAGGATTGCTACGGCGCAGCTCCACAGCCCCACGAGCACCCAATATCATTCCACTTGCCCCCATATGACATGAAGGACGTTTTCAGCAGCAGCTACCGCAAAGTGGAGTGTCCTGATGAGGCAGGGGCGGACATTGAGGACATGCCAGAAGCAGAAGAATTAGACAATGGTGAGCGAACATCGCACCGTAGCATGGCTGCCAGAACAGTAGCCGGAGAGACTTTTTTTCTGTTGCAATTGGTGCATCAAGCACCACCTGCTGGAAGAACCAGTTTGTTTTCCTGTTATTTCACGGACAGTGCATCTGTCACAGTTCTGCCAACCAACATCGGCTGCTGGGCACATGGGTGCTGCTTCACCCTGCAAGGCCACAGCCCACAGGTGGTGCAGTGATAGCAAGGGAGGAGCCTTGCATTTGAAGCCAACACAATCCGAAAACTGATAAGACGATGAAAGAGCAATACAAAAGCGCAGGGAACACTTCTCACAGCTTTGAGCATCCCTCCCTGATCCTGAAAATCCACTGGACAGCTGCATGTTGAAGTTTGACCTCACTTTCAGGGACAGGTTCTGCATGATCCGACACTGGCATTCAAGCAACACAAGTTCTGCCAGAATGGGCAGCACCTTCGTGGCACGGGGGCAGGCCGTCGATCCCAATGCCATTTTTCCTTGTTATCACCCATTGTTCATTGTGGACACCAGCGCAGGAACAGAGCACAGCGCTGGGCTTGTGTGCGGCATTGAAAAGCATCTTCATGGTATGGGAGTTTGATTTTACATGCAGGCGGACCTGCCCATAATCCAACCCCTCACATGTTTTTGGCTGCAGCACACGGTAGTGCACACTCACTGGGCAGATAGCATGGCACATTTTTCTGAGGGCTTGCCCTTGCCGTTTCCTTTTGGCGACTGCTCACAGGTCACTGTCAGCAGTGGGGCAAAAGCTGACAAGTCTTCTTGCGTTCCTTGCAGATGTAAGTATCGGGGGCCCTGGTGTTGAATGCACAGCAAGAAGCTCCACTTCGCTCATCGTGGTCGCCACCCTGCAGCGCCTGGGCATTTGGTACCACTCCGATGCAGACAAAGGCCGGGTGTGGGTGGACCCCAAGGATCTGACCCGCTGGGCCCAGGCCCACCACCGAGCCGCCTGGACGTCCAGCACGCCCTCGTTCATGGGCGATCGTGGCCCCATGGGAATGTCCATTGCCAGCCAAAGGCGCAGCATTCGGCTGGGAACGATTGGGCAGTAGTGGCGCCCTGCATAAGCAAAGACATTTTCTATTTCGAGACACACCTGAGCACTCTTGGACAGTATTGCCCAGGTGTGGAGAGGAGCGGGTTCAGCCCCCTTTTATCTTGAGAAGAGAATCTTGGAGGTAGGAAAAATTTTGAGGGAGCCTGCTCATCGCAGTTGCCAAGGGACAGTTTGGGAGTTGCCCCACTTGTACTTGTCGGATGCGAAATTTGGGGCCATTGTGACATATCGAGATGTTGATTCGAGTACCCTGTAAATCAAGGGTTGCCTGCTCGCTAGGAGTTTCTGATTGGGGCAGCCGGTACTTTTCGTTGTGCGGCTGTTTGCCATTCTTGGTAAGTCGGCATACAAAAGCGCAGACAGCTCGCATGCCCGTGTACTGGACCGTGTGAGGCTCCCAATGAGCGAACATTCTGAGAGATGTTCCTTGCAGTCGCTCGACAGGCCGCTAGGCTCTATCCCCCTGTTTGAAGCTGATGTTGTTGGCATGCGTGCGCGGGCCATGCTTTAGCCCAGCGAGCGGAGCCTCAGGCCCGTTCATATCCCCTGCCGCAAGCTTGGCTCCTGGGTGTAATTGCGAAGCCAGCAAGCCAACCTCAATCGTTCTCACCAGGGTCACTGTCACAAAATGCTGCTGGCCATACTGTTGTAACTAGAACTGCTTGATTATTATTAACAGCCGAACACATAGAGATGATGAGGCACTAGGAATTGCACCAATGACGTTTGTGAACGGACTGGATGTGAGGGACAGGACTCCCGTTGTCCCTTTGCCTCGGCTGTAAACCGTTGCCGTGGACCCGAGCGTGCAATCCCCGTTCAGGCGTCGCCACCCCTCGATCCTGCCTGCCTTCGTCATTTACCAACAATCAGTCTTTGTGGATAATGATGCGTGGGGTTGTGTAAAGTACGTGGTCCCCACTGTATTGCTGCTGCCTGACGCCACGGCAGCCTCGGCGTGGGACGCGCGTCGTCGGGGCCAACCGTGAAACGAGAAGTGATAGGAGTGCCCCCTCCCCCCCCCATCCCCAACTGCGACAACAAGGAGAAGGGATTTCCAGGCGGCGAAGACCAGTCCCAAACGGCGTCACGCAGCCGCCACCGCACCGCAAACTGCACGGACTGCGGCAGCGAGGTTTTCCAAAGGTAAGCCTGCCAAGTGGCCCTAAAACGCGCACCACTGGGCCCGGCTTTTGCCCGAGCCTCGCCGTCGCCGTTCCCAGTCAAAGGCACTCATGCTCACTTCCGTGGATTGAACGCCGCAGAACGCGACGATGAGCGATCGTTGGCGATGCCGGCAGCCTGCTCGGCTGCGGTTGTGTTGGACGGACGCGCGGCGCGTGGCCCCGGCGCTGGGGATGGGGAGTCGCATGTCCGGCTTGCTCCGCGGCACGCAAATGAGCCGCCGAGCTGGGACATGCATGCGCTCGGCTCGCTGGCGCTTGCTCTGCGGCTGCTGCCGTGGCGAGGGCGGTTTTGATCGCGCGCGGCGTGCTGACGGAATCGCTGATCCGCCTGGCAAGGTGCAGGTCCGCGGGCGCCAGCCGCCTCTCAGCGCGGCAGCAGCTCGCTGCCCTCCACTGGTACCGGAAGACTCGCCCGCCGTCAAAGCACGTGACTTGCCGACCCCCTCCTGAACAGGCGGCCACGTCTGTGGAAGCTGCAACGGAGTTGGAAGGCACGCTTTGCTCTCAGCGATTTACGACATTTCTGTTTCGCCCATCCCTTTGGAGACCCGTCGCAACGGCTGCCCGCCCTCTGTCCGCCCTCCTTGTTGACCCCGCACCTGTTATCCATGGCTCGCTCGGAGCGCGTCTCAGGGCGCTTCTCGATGTCTGACGTCCCCTCACGCTCCTCTTGCCATAGGCATCGAGCTCGGTGTCACATCGGCACTATCTGGGCATGTTTTGCACTGCGGTCCCGGGAGACTCACGGTTGGCACGCCCTGCTTGCCTGACCGTGCTTTCACGTCGGTCAAGTTCGTGGCAGTCGGCTCCAGGCCGCTTTGTTGGCCAAGGATAGACGGATGTGCCCTTTTCGCCGTTGGCAGCACGACTGGGGACTGAAGTGGATTTATGTCCCGCAGGAAGTCATACCGCAGTGCCGATTGCCCTTCCCGGGAAGTAGGAATGGCTTCGACCGCCAAGGACAGTGGTCCTGAGGCCCATGCCCCCCCCGAGGTGTTTGTTTGCCCAATATCAAGGGAGATCATGAGGGACCCCGTCGTTCTGGTCGAAACAGGGCAGATATACGACAAGGAGTCCATCAAGGGCTGGTTCATACGGGGCCGCAACACATGTCCACTGACAGGTAAAACTCCTTGTTGCCACCAAACAGTGCTGATGTTGCACAGCTACAGAGAAACACCCTTGCCTGGGCAGTGTGCCTGAGAACACTGCCAGTCAGTGATCTTACAACTGCAGTCGCTGTCACACCGACGCGCAGTTGGCAAGGAGTGGTCATTTGGTGGCCCTGACGTATAGAATCCTGATTGCACTCAAGTATCACTTGCTGATGGAGGAATGCGGCAAGTTGCACCGCTTTCGTGTGGCTTGGTGCCCTATCTGTCCTTCACAGAACTCAAAATCTTAACAACAGTTACTTGTCAGACATGCCTAAAGGGCTTTTCACGCGATGGTGACCCGTCCCCTCATCCTGCTCAGCTCGATTTTCAGCTATCTCCACGCTCGTGCCCTGCGGTCTTATCACGCCATCCAAACGCCCATGTTTTGTTTGCCATGTCAGACCCGCAGCATCCCTTGCGTGTGTGTCTGTTTGCTGCAAAGAATCGGGGGAGAGGGGGGGAAAGGGTGGTATTTAAATCCTGCATTCCCAAAGTGCACTCCAGCAGGTAAACTGCCTGGTGCAATGACATGACGTCCTGCGCATTGCATGCATGATTTTGGAATGATGTGCGCAGAGCCCACCTGACTGGTCAGTGTGCCTTTTCCAGGCAAGCGACTGCTGAGCCAGCACCTTACACAGGTCCACATGCTGCGGATGGCCATCGAGGAGTGGGCCTCAAGGGAGAACGTCGAGCTGGGCCCCAGTAGCATACCCCCCATGAGTGCTGATGACGCTGCCTCCTCTTCCATGGGCCCTTTGGACGACCCAGCAGCCTGCATGTCCATCGTTTCTTCCAAGGGCGTCTCTGTGTATGATATAGATGGCCTGTGTGCCCTGGTGGAAGGGAAAAAGGTGCCAGAGGCGTATGCCGCGCTGGTGGTCATGCGGGACATGGTGAAGCATGCAGACGAAGACCGGGTCAAGTCGATGAGGAGGGCGCTGGATCTGGAGCTGCTGAAGCAGCTGCTTTGGGAGGATCGGCTTCAGGTTGGTGGGACCACGTTTCTGCACAACTGAGATTTTAAGTTGAGAGAGAATGGGAAATGTGGGTTGTGGACTGTGTTCGTTGGCGAACGTCACCCTGCATGGCGTCTGTGGAATTGTGCTTGTCAGAATTCGACACAAGGCGCAGTATATACTGTGGTGCCGAGTTGCGCAAACTCCCCACGTTACCATGGTTGGCAGGGAGCCTTGCTAGCAGAGCTGATGAGAACCACGTCCATTTGGCAGCACTGGCGCTGCGATCAGTATCTGTTCACGCAGTTCAGCTAAGATGAACTGTGAAACCTTCTGTCATTCACAATGCGCAAGAAGTGGCAATGGTGCTCGAGCGGTGTGCAGGATTTGATTTCCTTTGTTCATTTGAAATGGTAAGTTGCAGTTTTTGGGGTGTATTGGCTGTATTGGAGATTCGTTGGAGTGCTGGCTTTCTCCTGTTGAGTGTCTGCATGTTTGTGCTCAAAGACAGCCTACAACAGGGTGTGCATGATGGCAGTGTCCTCACAGGACTTGTTTTCGGCAACCTATGGCACGTGAGCGTGCCTGCTGGGCTTCTATCTATCCATCCGCTTTGCACATTCTTTCAAAATATCCTCATGAACAGTGGGCGCTCCTGCACCCCATCTCCCTTCAAGTAAGGAACAGAGTTGCTCCTATCTCTCAGTCACAACTCTCACTCAGCCGTTCGAAACCTGTCCCTGTGGCAGTGCCACTGACAGCTGTGCAAAGCATCTGCTGACCACTGTGTGCTGCTGGCGTTTGTGCCCAGGTTCCAGCTGCACGGCTGCTGGTGCAAATGCGTGGTGTACTGGACATCGACGAGCTGCTATCGCTGCTGGTGATCCAGGACGTCGAGCTGCAGGTTGATGTGCTCACACGGCTGATCGAGCACATCTGTGAGAACAGGGGCCACATGCAGGAGGCTGCAGGAGCTGTTGGGCGCTGGGTCTCAGGCCTGTGCTCACGGTTTCGAGGGCGTAGGCACTCAAGAAGCCGGAGGCCAGCGCCGCCTTGAGGGAAGGCGGCCGTTGCTATCCAAGGTGTTGTTCTTGTAGATTGCACTGCAGAGTTGTAGCTAGTAATAAGGACGCGAACGAGCTGCCTGCTATGCCATTGAAGGAGATCTGCCAGCACTGCTTGAGGGGAGGAGGCGGCGGGCGGGTTGAGCTTTGCAGCAAGGGTTCGGTCAACAGGGTAGGCAACAGCATAAAGAGGTAAGAAGGGGGGCGGGTGGAGAGTTGTAGCAACGGTTTCGGACACCAGGGGTTTGTGCCATTGAGCACTCTCCCATATTGCTTGGCTGGGTCTTATAGTTGCCTTCGTGAGAAGCCTGGCCAGATGTCATGGCTTAAGCACCTGTCAACTGCCCATGCGTGGGATGAACCGTGTATTGTGTGGGAGGGAACGGAATTAGCGCCAGTTGCTGGCACCTTGGTAGTTTGGATACTCTGGGGTGTACAGAGAGTTGGGTATGTACCACAGCGGTGTGTGCCTGCATGCATAAGATACGTTTTGTGTGGGCGTGTAAAGTTAGTTTGCTTTGGTGTTGGCCAGAACGACTGCTGGAGGTGCAGTTTCAATTGGCCCCGGAAGCAGCTAGAACAGCGTTGCCTGGAGTAGCTGTCGTGGCAGCTGGCCACTGATTGGATGGCGCTCGACCAGCGGTAATTCCCTTGTTCGTATTGCCAAAGGCAGCACTAGCTCACGCATTGTCCTCCAACCATTCCCTGCTGCAAGCTTGTCACATTCTGCATTGACCCAAGAGGGAAGCAGACAAACTCTGGTGGCAGCATGACAACTGCCAACGATTCACTGCCCCGGTGCATGCAGCTGCACACTCTTCAACACAACCTACTTGTTTCTACATATCACACCCAACGCCCACAATTCCTAATGTCTTGTGCTGTCTTGCCCACCCCCACCTATTCCATGGCAAGGGGTGCCATGGCAAGGGGTCCCATGCGTGAACCTTGTCCTAGTTTCCCTGATTACGCATTGCTGCACCTGTCGTGGTCTAGAGTGTCGAACATGATGCCACCTCACTCAGCTTTGCGTTTAGGCGGGTTCCCCCCTGAGCAGATGTTGTAGATGTAGAAGACGAGCATTGCTACTCCAAGGGCAAGGAGGAGAGCAGGTGCAACTGCCCGACCCCTTTGCTGAAAGTCTCTCCACAGTAGAGCACACAACCCTGTTGTAACACCTGCCAGCAATAGAACCAGCATTCAGTTGATCAGCCCATGCACCTGCACGACTGGCACCTGTGTTGCTTGTGGCACACTGCATGAAGTGAATGAGCGCATGGCGATCGACGCTTGCCACACAATATGTCGTTTCAGGCCAATGCCTCTCAATACAGGAACACTCACCAGAAGCAGGGCTCTCAGGGATGTACATGTACATTGTGAGTTGCAATGCCTGCTGTCTCATTGACAAGCTCAACCACTGAACTGTCCAGAGGATGGTGCAGTGAAAGGCAGTCTTCATGCCTCCTCTTTTGGGGTAGTTGGAAATATCTGTGTCTTTTATCTATCCTGCATAGTCTCTGCAACATAACCTTGGGCGCAGCTCCTTTGATACCTCAGCATGGCATAACCACCTATGCTGCTCAATGCAGTGACCAAATGCAGGAAGTGCCTGTAATCAAGGATGGCATATATGCTATCTCTGAGAAAGCAATCAGGAAAGAACAACCACCTACTAGGCCAAGCTCAGAGATTCTTGGACGAGTGGGTTGCCATGGAGAGTATGAAGTACTGTGCATTGTCAAAATGTATGAGAATTGTTGGTACACAAGATGATCAAATTTGCAAGCGTGGAATAGAAAGGGAATTAAACTGTTGGTGCAGTTCAGCCACAAATCAACTTTGTCTCTGCAAGCAGACACCTGGTGTTTGGACAGACAAAGCTGAGTGCAAAGCTGAGGTGCTCCAACGCAACTGTCGTAAATTCCAATCTATATCTTCATATACTACCTCCGTTCTAGAGGTAGTGCCTAGTATCCAACCGTGCTATAACTTTGCAAGATCAACTCAACTAGCAATCTGTCGCCAGATTCGGATTCCTTGGTCGATTTTGGGTTGATGCGGATCGTAGTTACATTAGTCACCACCATATAGCAAAAGATAGACAACCTTATCAAAAATGCCCCTGTCCGCTTGTGTCAGGTCCGCAATTCCCCACATTTTTGTGCTCACCTTATCCCGTTGTATTCCAACCTATTTTCCCACAAATCTTCAAGAACCTTGTTGTAGACAGCAAATGAGCATTGCTACACCCTCAAGAATTTCGACATCATCGCTTCCATACTCTTTTTGTGGACCATCTCTTCCACTGTACTAATCATGTTTCGAAAATTCTCGATTTCCAGTATTGGCAATGTTGGCAACAAGTTACGCCATCTTTTCTTTTCGGTTTTCCAGACCTTTGTGCATCTACCAGGTTGATGCTCTTGCCCAGAGGAAGGTGTCCCTTGACCTTTGGCCTCAACAATCGGCTGTACTCGTCAACAGCCTAAACTCTGTGGCAAAAAAAAACTACCTTTGCATGGCGGATTCTGTTGGGAATCTAGCCGCATCTTTTGTGAACACCCAACCACCAATTCCTATATCTCTCCAAGGGGTAGCTCAGCTTGATCCACCTCCATCGAAGGGCAATACGAGCTGGCCATGCCCTGCTCTTGGTCCCGACGAAAGGAACAGTGGCGTCTCTGTTCCTCTTAACAGATGTCAAGAACGGCAGCGCCGTTTCCCACGTTAGGGCTCTATATATAGCTGTCGGTATGGCGCATCGAAGCTAGTTTAGCCTAATTCTGTGACTTGCAAGTTTTGACCACCGTTTGAGTGATTTGGATAACAGACAAGACTTTTGGAACAGAGGTAGAACATATCTTTCCTCCATTTGAGCTTGCCAAAAACTGGATACACGAAGGTTATGTGACAGCAAAGCTGAGATCTGTCAATTCTAACCATGATTAAGGTCTCCACGAACGAACAATAACAATCAATAGGGAAACCAGAAATCGGAGGCTCAAGGAAGTCCCTGTACAGGTTGCGTTGCACGTCACTACCGTGCAGATTCTTGCGCGACTTTTGCAACCCAAGGATGTGCACACACAGGTTGCAGCAACGCCATTTTTAAGCGTTTCCTCTGAAAACCCCAAGCGCAACCGGTTGCAAGATGCAGGTATGTGCCCACACACAAAGGTGGCCTCTTGGGCAAAGACTGCCGTGTTCGAAGAAAGCAGGAGTTCGGAAAGGTAGGCCCTCACAACACCCACCAGTGGATGCCGCGGTGTACTGCGCTGACGACAGCCCTGCCTTCCAGGCCTTCAGGCTGAGGAGGGCGCAGGCACACAGGGCCGCTCCCGACAGGGTGATGAGGCCGCCGACCTCGCCAGAGCCGAAGATGAGGCTGACGGCGCCCGCCAGCAGGGTGACGCCTCCAAAGGGAATCGTCAGGCAAAAATCATGCAGCCTAGCGTGCCGCCCGCCCTCCTCGCCCCTCATGGCCTGGGGAAAGATCCAATCCAGCAAGTGACTCGGTTGGCGCTTGTGATCCGCGCACTGGACCGCCCATCGAGGCGGACTTGCACTGCCCGTTGGCACAGGGCCAGACCCTTCGACATCCGCCAGCTTCGCCGCGCGCTGCCGCCCAACGTCACATCACAGCGGGACGCGATCTGGCCGCACTTGGGGATCCAGCGCCGGGAGGGCGCACCCGATCACTCTTGGCGCCACACTTTGCGAGTCTTCGCACCGGCCAAGGCCGAGCGGGTCGCCGTCCAGGGCTCCCACCGCACGGCCCCATCGGCAACACGCGACGCACGCCACGTCGCGCGAACCGGACAGGTCGACACAGCGCCGGGCAAAACGGGCGAGAGCGGACGCTCCGCATCACGGACGACGTCCCGGGCCCGCCGCGAGGCTCACCTGCTGGCTTTCGGCAGCGGAGGGGCCGCGCCAGCGCCGGCAGCCAGCTGCGCCCCGCGTCCCCGCCGGGGTCAGAGCGGGGCAGCAGAACGGGGCGGGGCTCGGCGCGCAGGTGCGCTGCAGGGACGAACAGAGGGCCGGGGACAGGGGGGAGGCGCGCAGTAGATGGCGCTCCATGGCGGCTCGGCCGCGCCCTCCGCGGGTGCCACGGGCGCGCGCCCCAAGCCTGCCGAACAGGCCGCGACTTGTGCCTCGAATGGGACGATGTGTGAGTGGACCCTCCCCGCTGCTGCCTCTGATCACGCAAGGGGAGGCTTTGGGTGTTTGTTGCCGCGAGAGGCGTTCTGGCGCCATTATTATCGGGCCCTGCGGAACTGCAACCCCATCACCACTGCGGAACTGCAACCCCATCACCACTTTGTGAGGGGCTTGTGTGACTGTGCTGTAAAAAATGATGATGATGATGATGACTGGGCTCTGGCGCGGCGCCACGTGGGCGTCATTCACAATGAATTTGGCAAACGTAATTGAATGGCAGTGTTGGTGGATTGACTGCGTCCGAAGAAGAGCAATTTCCGGGTTTGTTGTTCGCTTGGCACAATGCCGGAGCGACCTACCAGTGGTCAAGAAATTGCACGTGTCAGAAGGCAGCTCCAATATGCTGGAAAAGAGCCCGGAACAGGACACGCTTCACAAGAATTAGCAGTTGATGGACTCTGGACTGTCCTCGCGTAAAGCAGCAGATTTCGGTGAATAAGTCATGGACACCGAATTGCTCGGCAGAATTGGAAGCCGACGGCTTCCTCGTCGCCTTGTCGTGTGAAGTCTCATGACGATGAACAGGGCCCAACTTATTCTCGCCAGCACGGCCTTGTTCATAGGATGCTGCCGCTTCTTTGGATTTTAAGGCAGATCTTGATACACATGTACAGACACAACCCCAAAAAGGCGGTCACCGCGCCCCCAGTCTGACGAGGATGACCCACGGGCGCCGGTCTCTTGGGTCGTCAGGCGACGTCCCAGGCGCCTGGGCCGCCGCTTCTGCCAGCGCGGAGCGGCCTCTCCGCACTCGCCTAACGCCGCCCTGAGTCCCGCACCCCGTTGGCCGCCGCCTCGTCGCCACGCCCCCGCCCCGGATCCTGCCATGCCGGTCCGCGGCGCCCCCAGCAGCCCGCGGCAGGCCGCGCGGCGCCGGTGGCCGGCAGCCCTCGCGACGTCCTTCTCGGGGCGCGATCAGGAGGCCAGGGTGAGTGCCTTCCGCCAGGGGACCTGCTCTGCAGTCGCGGCCTTGTCGGCGCGGGGGGAGGCGCGCTGGGGGACAAAGGCGCGGACTGGCGACCAACTCTGCCTCTGGACTCCAGGGTCAGAAGGTCCCGCGTCGCGTGCGCATCTGCGTCCCTGCTCAGGGGGCGGCAGAAGGGAGCGGTGGCCAACGTGAATGTGCCTAGCGGTGGTGTTCTCCTTCGTTTGCCGAGCGGCGTTTTCTGCGCATTCCGCAGCCAGAACTCCGCGGGCCACGGCTTCCAGAGAGGACAGTCGACGCTGGAAAACGAAGGCCCAAAAATAGATGCCTGAGGGGCGCATGCCGCGTCGGGGGCTGGGTGCGAAGGCGGCAGTGGCACTGAATCTTCGACTTCGTTCACGCGCACTTGCGCCAAACGTCACCCGCGACATGAACCCCGGTTTGGATCGCTAAACCAAACCGTGGCGACTCACAAGGCAGTCGGCGCGTTTGTGCCCATCAATGATATGTGCCCATCCGTCCCCACGGCTTCGTACATGAAGTCGTTCCGCGCCCTCCCGGCACATGTCCTCGCCTTCCTGAAGCTGACAGGCGCGCTGTGGCAGGAGAGTGGCCCCAAGGCACCGAGCCTCACGTCCGCGATAAGGAAGACGCTGGCTCGCAGGCTCAGGAGCGACGTCCGGGCCCCTGCTGCCATGCCGGTGAGAGCGTTCGCTGCGCGGAGTCCCTCACACCTCTCCAGCCCGCGCAGGCAGCGTCGCAAAGGCCTGTGTTGGCTGGTGGAGGTCTCCGCTGGGCGTTGTGAAAGACTGAAGCGCAGGGGGCCCCTTGAAGACTTGGGTTTCAAGACACAAGCAGACGCGCAGATGCGCAGATGCTGGTCCAGTATTTCAAGCCACATGTGCCCGGTTCCATCTCAAGGAAAGGATGAAAGGCAGTCACATTGTACATAGTCATTTCAAGATCGTCACTCTGTAGCAAGAAACGACCCATAGGTCGATCAGCCTGAAGATTTCAAGCGAGAATCGCTGGAGTGAGCTCACTCCCTTGGGGCGTCAATCATGTGCGCTCCCAATGAAAATGATCTAGCCGCACCGGTTTGTTGACGACGTGCAGAACAGAGCGCTGAACGCAACTGCACACGACGTCCAAATTCATGAGGCACATGAAGCAGCTCGAGAATCTAACATCGCCCATGCCACGCCAGGACCTCCGCTCCGAACTGGAATGTGTGACCAAACGGGCGGATAAGCTCGCAGACCAAAGCGCCGAGCTCGCTGAGCAAGTGGAAGAAGCAAGGAGGAACTTGGATGCGGCCAACGACATCAACCAGGCCCTCAGGATCCAACTGGAAGACGCCCTGCAGAAGGTTGGCGACGAAAGTCGCCACACTGCGGACGTGAGGGACCAGCTGGCGGAGTGCCAGCAGTGGAACGATGAACTCACCAAGAAAAATGAAGCCCTAAAGAAGGAATGCGACAGGCTGCAGGAAGGACGCGCCGCTGGGTGCGTCGGCGGGGGTCTTCGTCAAGAAGTTGACGTGTTGAAGGAAGCCCTGAAAGGGGCCCAGGCGAAGGTCGCAGTGCTGAGCCAGCAGCTGCAGGCTCACGACTTCAGGGCAGCTGCGCTCGCCGTTCATTCGAAAGCAGTGAGGGTGCGCTGAGTTGGTCACTCCTGAAGTGGTAGTGAATCTTTCCGAAGGGGCCGGGCTGTGGTGCACGCGCCTTGAATATATGCGTGGCGTCACATGAGGATTGTATGACTTCGTGCAAGACATAACACTTTGCATCAGGCACGTGTCTTCTGTTTCGATTTAAAGTATTTTGATGGGTAGGGCTGCTTGCATAATGCCTTTGAGATCCTGCACATGTGAAGAAAGATATCGCGTTTTGCAGAGGTTTCTCGCCCGCTACCCACAAGCAGCCTTTGCGGTACCTGTTCAAGCATGTGGATCACACATCCTTGTTTTTCCCACAGTTTTATCGCAAACAAAGTCACGTTTAATTCGCAAATGCCGAGAAGTTGATGATGTTTATCTAATTTGTGATCCTTACTCCATTTCCAGCTCACGCCGGGGTGGATACAGCCGTTCAACGCCGACAACATGGAATCGCAGCGTTCGTGGTGAGAGTTAGTCCCAGTGTAGCACCAGCGGAAATCGAAATTTTTGCGGTGCCAGCTGCGATGCCGTTTGACACTAATTGATGCCATTGCAGCCACTTTTGTGCCATCGCAGTCACTGTGATGGCGCCAATTTGCGTCAAAATGGCGTCGCAGTTGGCGTCGCAAACTCGGCGTTTTCTGATAGTGTAAGGCATGTGCATTTTTCATGCGGATGCTTCCAATCCGCGAGATAGAAGCTAAAACTTCTTAGAAATTCGCCTTTTGTTATTTATTTGGCTACGTGTCCGTTTTGCTTACTTGAATATGGACTTTACACCGCGGCCACTTCAAAGAGAAGCACCGCGCCTGTTGTACCTTGCCAGTCAGGCCGGAGGAAGCTTATGGGTTCCCTGAATTGCATTTCGAAGCTGGATTGTCTACCACCAGTACGTTGCTACTGGCGCTTTCAGCACTCTATGAGAGGGCGCCGCTCACTAGATGCGATGCCAATAGCCCCAGCATTCACCTGAATGGCGAAACAGTCTACATCTTGTCCTGTGCTGCGCAGCAGTTTGCATTGAGAACTTTCGCGAATTCCTGACCACAGCGGTTGCGGGTTGCCACAACGGAACAGGTACTCCAAATTTTGCGGCCTGTAGACCCGGTGACGCGAGCATGCTGGAGAGCTGAGGGTGTGTGCATGGGGGATTCTTAGTGCATGAGTTCAAGGGGATGGGCGGTGTGGGTACACTGAGGAGCCGGCCGTCAGGTACCTGCACGTTGTTGGACCAAAGACAGGCCTGATTTCTTTTTGCAAGTTCTAAAATGTATTAGAGGTTGTACAGCTGCACCTTGAAACCAGTAGAAACACTGTACATACAGCCTTGGGAATTTGCATTTTGAATGGCCTCTCTATTCGCACACGTGTGCACAGGTAATTGGTAATTGGTAACACGGCGTGTCGCCAATGCCTGATCGCTTCCTGTGCGCGTCGGCCCCCGCTTCCACCAGCACCCTTACCACAGAAGGCCTATCCAGCGCGCATGCAGCATACCGGGGCGTGGCGTCGTCCAGAGTCCTCGCTTTGTCCACAGCTGCACCCGCCTTCAGCAGGGCATTCACTATATCCAAATAGCCCTCCTGTGCCGCGGCAAATAGGGGGGTTACACCCGTGGTGACACAGACACAGGTAATCCCATACGTTCATGGGGATGAGATATAGCAGTAGAGA